CTTCATCGAACGGGCCAACTCAGCACACTCTTGCTGCACCTTGCCGACGGAATCCATGGCGAGATCCACCTTGGTAGTCACCTTCTCAAGACTGCCACCTTGGGAATCCAGCCGCTGATCAATCTCGTGCATCCACTTTGTGATGCCTTCCAACTTCTCCAAGAGTTTGGACTCCATGGAGTCCATAGCTTGCTTCAAAGGGGCTGAAAGTTTTGCGGGCGCCGTGGCGAATCAGGAAGAATCCAACGCACGGCGACACCCACAACCTGTCTCTGATACCACTGTAACACTACGCCACCGCGAAACTCGCCGCCGACGAGAGAGAGAGATATTTAGACGAGATCGGAGTTGGGGACGAAGAGAAACAGAGCTGAGGCAGAGGAGAGACAGAGTTTGGAGAGAGATAGATTTGATTTCTTTTTGCCAGGTTGGCCACAGCCATTCTCTCTCTCGAGTATTTATCTCCTGATTACATGGACCGTTTGCCCAAACGATTTAAAGCACGCAGGCCGCATTCTATTTGATAAAGTCTAGCCCAAAACACACACACTATCATTCACAGTTAAACCTCTTTCTCAGTGTCACCATTGCCGGTCATGACATAATCCTACAGAGTACAGATCGGAAAAAAAGGTGTAGTTTTTCTGTACAACACAACTGCAGGAGCTTTGAATCAAAGGATATAACAGTAGAACGGGCATATGTGATACCCGCTTGGAGGGCGGGGAGGCAACGACGGCGGTGGCGGTGGAGACATCGATGGCCTTCCTCAACCGACGGTAGCGTCGTGGAGCCGCCTCCTCCGTAGCCATCGGATCTTGATTGTCGCCGGCTGGATGACCGATCGGCGGCGAGGGATTGGAGAGAGGGCTGGACGGATTCGAGAAGGATGGAGGCGCAAGCGGCGGCAGAGCGATTGGAGAGGACGGGCCGCGAGCGGCGCCGGGGGATTGGAGGGGGAAAAGCTCCGGGGCGTCCGTACAGTTTTATGGTTTGCATCTCAGCCCGTTTGTGTTCGGCTCAACGTGTCCTTTCCGATACGAAAAAGCTCCGATTTTGGCCCCCTTTTTCTGCATCTGAAGTTTGGACGCAACTCGGGATCGGCGCCCGATGGGATTCAGCTTGGGTGACTTTGTGTTGGCATGTCACAACGTGACATTGTGAGGATCTCTGCCATCAAAAACACATCCAACGGCTCGTTTGGTTGGGCCCGCCTGCAGGTCGGAAATTTAGCCGCCGATCCATCCGTCCCGCGGGAGATGGCGCCCGCCGATCCAACCCATCCCGTTTCGCCTCGCCCGAGTCCAGCCGTCGCCATCGCCGTGAGCCAGCTGGGAGGCTTGCTGTCACCGCGCGAGGCCGTCGGGCTCGCCGCGAGTGGGGAGGGGACCGGGCGGCCGCCGCGCAAGGCCGGGGTCGGGGCCCTGCCCTGCTGCCACGACCGAGGAGAGAAGCCAAGCCGCCGCGCGAGGCCAACTCCATGCCCTGTCGGCCTGTCCTGCCGTGACCTGTGGAGAGGCGCCAGGGCGTCGAGGCCCTACCCTGCCGCCGCGACCGGGGGACCGGGAAAGCTACCAACAGTACGATAGAACATTTTTCTCTGAAACTCAGTCAGTCAACACAAGGGAGATAGCTATATCCAATTCACTCACAAATGCAGTGAAATCATTGCATTTCCCTCCATTTGAATGGCACAACCATACATCTCCTTTGAAGTCATATATATCAAGCATCAGCGCGCGAACACCATTCTGCAAAAAAAAAAAGAAGCTATTTCTATGAGAATCAATTGTGGCTAGATGTATCGTCAGACATGTAGAACAATGGCTAGAACAGATGATGCATATAGCAGGTGCGACATTTAATTGATCAGTGACTGTATCCTCTTGGTTGTCAAAGGTGATGCGTGGAACTCCAGTGTGCGATGGCTCCCCAACAATTGCAAATGAATTGTGTGTCGTGAGATAGGCATACTAGTTGAATGGCAGCGAGTTGTTTTGAAGAACAAATCAAAAGCAAACTCCAGTCAGGATGCAGCAAACAGAAGCTGTTTGATGTCCATAGGCTGATGCTTGTGCAGGTAGCCGGCAGGGGCAGCGCGGCCTCCAGGACGTCCCCTCCTCCACGCGCCGAGCTGCAGATTACAGAAGAAAAATGAGGCCGGTTCACCACGGCTGCAGATCACCACGACTGCCTGGACTGGCTCGGCGGCCTCCAACCGCAACCACCACCGCACGAGGGCAGGCCTGGTGGCCGACCGCTGCTCGCGCCGGCAGGGCCACCGCGGCGATCTCGACGCTCGCGCGCGGCGGCCCCACCGGAGTCCCGCGGCGACAACCCCCTTCCGAGCGGTGGCACCGGCCCCCTTCCAAGTGGCGGCGGTGGTGGTTCTGGGGGATTCGCGAGCAGCGTGCTCCGGCAGGAAACGGAGCAATGCGGGGTGAAAGCTGAGGCCTGCAGGTGGGCCAGCGCAGTGGACCCTTGGATTTATTTTCAACGGCCCAGATCGCTGCAATGTCACACCGTGCCATACCATGGCAATGTCACAGAATCTGAGTCCCGCCCGATGGGAGGGGGAAAATCGGAAGCTGACATCAGTATAACACATGCGCGCAAAATCACTTTAAACTATTTTTTCTCTTAAATTATTTATCCAAGTCATTGAAAACCGCATGTCGTAATATTGAGTCGATGGTTATGCAGTTGTTCGCTAACTTTGGATGGAGATTCATAAATAGGATTCAATAATTTTTGTGATCTTTTTATGCTGTGAGTTTTCATTAATCTGTATGCTTTTGTTTATTCAGGTGTGAGTTTTTATTGAGTTGGAGTAATAATTGGCTATAGCTTTTTGAGCAAAGGCAAGGATTATATTCCATTATCTAAAAAATTAGATCTATACATAGTAAAACATTATGAGTACACTAACATTTTTTTTTAAAAAAAATGAAACGAATTTCCTTAACAGAGGATTTCCAAAATACGCGGGCAATTTGTTGCAACGGAGTATGTGGTGGGGCCACGTGGCTGGTGGGGGCAGGAACATGTGGTGGGCCCACAGAGCACGTGCGCGTATCGTGGGGGGGAGAGCGACCGATTTTTCCCCTCCTCGAGCGACCGATCAGCAGCAATTCTGCTGAAGTTCTAAACGTATGAGAAACTTTTGGTGACAGCTCAAACAACGTTGGCTAGATGTAAGTTAGTAAAATTTATTGTTAGAACTTTTGATTTTTTTAATCCTAATTTGTTTTTAGCTTGGCTTTTAAATTTTAAGATTGTTTTACCTGGAATAGCTCTAATTTACACCACCTTTAGAATAGGACATGACTATATAGCGCACGATCGCTGGTTTGATTAAGGCCCTGTTTAGATCTCACCCTAAAATTTTTTGACCTGTCAAATATAATGTTTGAACACCTGTATGAAATATTAAATGATTATACACTGTAATTATAATTGTTAAATTTTTAGAAAAAAAATTGTCGACAGATATGTAGCCAAAAGTGAACTGGCAATACCAACGCCGAACGCATACGCAACGGCGTCATAGCACGAGTAGCACCTTTTCTCATGGCCCTATGTATCGTGGAGTCTGTGTGATATTTGTTGTAAGTATTGGGAAGTGGAGGACCAGACTTTGCCTAAGCTGTGCGTCGTCAAGTTTCAACCAGGTCAGGTGTGTGCCTCTCGCTGTAGTAGTCTCTACCATTCCCAGCGCATGAAACCGACCGTAATGAAGAAAGCCCACGACGCACCCCAACTACCCAAGTGACACTCGTCACTCGTGCCGTCGGTCATGTGCATGCACCACGCACGCATGGAATCCACGGCAACAGCGGCGACGCACGCCCACCACCTCTAGACTCTAGTAGTTGTAGTACACCCCAATGCCACATGCAAAAGCGAGGGGTTGTTTGGTTGGCATACTCACATTACTAAAACGTGCCATACTTTATTTAGCTAAAGCTGTTTGGATGCTATATTAAGTTTGCCACCATTCACCATACTTTTTATGCTACACTTGTCTAAGTTGTGACTTACAAAAAGTGAGCCACACCTTAGCTAGCAAAATTGAATTATGCCACACTTTATTGAGTTGATGATATGTGGGACCCAAATAGATAAGAAGTAATACTGCCACAAGTGTGGCTATAAACCAAACAATATACTAACTTGGTCAAACTTATCTAACATAAGTTGTGATAACCTTTGGCAAACTTTGGGAGCAAACCAAACAACCCCTAACATGCCTAACATGTGGCTAACAAAATTGAAGCCACACTTCAACTATAGGAGAGCAAACTTGCCACACTTTTATGTGTCAATGATATGTGGGACCCACGTCATGGTGAAGAAATCTTATCATAAGTGTGGCACGAACCAAACGAATGCCTAACTTAATTAAACCTGGCTAATTTGAGTTGTGTCACAGTGAAGCAAATTGTGGCATTGAGCCTCACAGCCCCTCAATTCTGCTGCGGGTCGCGACTTTGCGAATTGCGAGTAGTTGGCGCACGTACTACTCCTACTACACGTCCACTGCGTGTGTCTGCGTTCCCGGACAAAATTGCCAGCCAGTGCACAAGTGCAGGCGTGCGGCCACTTCCCAAAGAAACCCAAGTAGTGGAATTTCCGGAAATTAAAACAGCATAAAGTGCTCCTACCACTCCTACTAGTAGTACTACTACTTCTACCCAACAATCATTCCAACCAGTCTCCAAACAAAAATAAAACTATTGCAACCAGCCTCCAAAAAAAAAAAAAAACCTTACCCCAACCGCCAACTCACGGGCTTTGGCCCCTGGCACGGCAGCCTTAACACCCTGTTTAATTCCATCTCCATGCCTCATACCTACCCACTAGGCTAGCACCCACGACACACATAAACCGAGCAACCTGTGAGCAGATGGCCCCATTTGTCACTGGCAAATCGTGGAGGCGACACCGGTGTGAAACAACAAGCCGCACGACCCCCCAGAAATCTCCTCCTTTGCCTCGGCCCCTCCCACGGCGAGAGAGCGTCCACCCGACGCTCAGCAACTGGAGCAAGCACGGGCAACGAGTCGCAGTAAAACAGCAGTGCGGACTCGGAGACAGTACGGGGAAAACGCACATCGAGCGGTGGAGAGTGGAGTGGAGTCGAATGCAGCGCGAGTGAGTCCAAAACGACTCGTCTCGTAACACCGAAGCGACCGAGAGCGCCTACTGCCGCCTACTGCGCCTGCGCTGCCGCCGCGCAAGCCCAAGCGCAACGCATCCGCCTCTGCCTCATCCTCTCCTCCACTTGCTGGTCGCTGCCATTGCCTGCGCCTCCACTCCACTTCTCGCGGCTCGAGAGGCTGACGGCGGGGCGCCTCGAATTTCGCCCTCTCCGACGAGCGGAGGCGGAGGAGGGAGCCCAGGAAGAGGATGCGAAAGCAGTGAAGTTTGTAGAATTTTCAGTTGCATTTTGCTGTTTCTGCTTGGGAGTTGCTTTGGGGCGATAAGAATTCTCTTGTTGATTTGTTCCTCGCAGGAGAGGAGGAGAAGAGGGGGGAACGGAAATCTCAGCTGCTGCGTCAGTCTCGCAGATCTGCTCCGTTGAGCTGCTGTTTCACGGAATCACCATGGGTGGAAATCATCGCCATGGGTGGTAGGATTGGTTGGGTGTCGCCGATCTTCTCGCTTCACGCCAACTAATCGAGTGAATTGTGGGAAGAAGAAGAAGAAGAAGAAGCCGAGTAGACGACGGCAATGGCGTCGTGGGAGAACCTCGGGGATGTGGCGACCGTCGTGCAGCTGACGGGGCTCGACGCGGTGCGGCTCATCTCCATGATCGTGAAGGCGGCGTCGACGGCGCGGCTGCACAAGCGCAACTGCCGCCGGTTCGCGCAGCATCTGAAGCTCATCGGCGGCCTGCTGGAGCAGCTGCGGGTGTCGGAGCTCAAGAAGTACCCGGAGACGCGGGAGCCGCTGGAGCAGCTCGAGGACGCGCTCCGCCGCGCCTACCTGCTCGTCCACTCCTGCCAGGACCGCTCCTACCTCTACCTCCTCGCCATGGGCTGGAACATCGTGTACCAGTTCCGCAAGGCGCAGAACGAGATCGACAACTACCTCCGCCTCGTCCCGCTCATCACCCTCGTCGACAACGCCCGCGTCAGGGTCGGTAAAACCATATCCCTTTCAGCTTCTCTCATCAGTGTTCATTTGTTTAATCGTGTAGTTGAGTGTTAGACTAGTAGCCTGGGCATGTAGGCTTTTAAGAAATGTTGGTTGCATCATTCTTTGATTCTAAAGTATGGTATATGGAATGTTTGCTTTTGAAATTGGATGGAAAATGATTTGTCTTGGATTCTTGGTGGTTTTCCTGTATGGTCTCATGGGTTCTTTGTTTTCTGTTGGTTGGTGTGACCCAAAGGATTCTATTTTAGAATCTATCTTCTGAATATAACCGACGCTGCAACCTTTTGGTGCTCCATCATTTTCATCGTCTATATAATCTGATTTTTTTGTTGGTGTGAATGTGACCCAAAGGATTGTGAAGGTATATGTATATGCTAGGAAACTGATTTTTTTTTTAGCTCCAGCACAGTGAGCTCAATCACTAATCATGCCACTTGGGACTAGTGATCTGCATCGGATATCATGTTTATTTACTCCTATACTTGTCATCTTTGCTTCACAATCCTTTTTTTTCAGGAGCGGATGGAATACATTGAAAGGGATCAATGTGAATATTCTTTTGATGATGAAGACAAGGAGGTTCAAGATGCTCTGTTAAACCCTGATCCAAGTACAAATCCTACGGTAGTGCTCAAGAAGACTCTGTCATGCTCTTATCCAAACTTGCCATTTAACGAAGCGCTTCGAAAGGAAAGTGAGAAGCTCCAAGTAGAACTTCAAAGATCACAAAGCAACATGGATATGGGCCAATGTGAGGTTATTCAACACCTCCTAGGAGTGACTAAAACTGTGGCAAGTTCGATTCCAGAGAAATGTGCCACTCCTAAGGTTTCTGAAAAAGCTGACTCTAATCACACAAAAGTCAGTGAAGATAGTGCAAAAACATATCATGATGACTCTCCAAAGAAGCAAAAGGATGCCTGCACTGCACCACGGTTAGTAAGTTTAACTAGTTTCTTTCGGTGACTATCTTCTTATGATGTGGGTTGCAGTGGTAAAAAAGGCAGTGTATAAAACCTTTTCTCATTAAGTAACATTAACCTGAACAATTACTATGGCCATTTCTGGGTAAATCATGAAAAATGTGCGCATTCTTCCTTATTTTAGAGGTGTAAGTCTTGTATACTCAACTGTGTGATCCAACAAAAGAGAACTTCACTATGTTCTGTTCTAGACTTGAAATAGAAATTTTGTTATGTGCTTATGCCCCTCAAAATGCGTATGCACATTATAAAAATTTTGATAGTTCCTATGGTGCATATCTTTCTCAGAAGTTCTCCGCCATCTTCTTATGGCCATGATCTGGTCTCAAGCAGAGGATCATACAGCGACGAGTGGCATGCAGATTTGCTTGGTTGCTGTTCAGAGCCATCTTTGTGTATGTCCATTTACCTTCTCTTTGGATGCGTGATTTAATGATTTCCCTATGGTGTTTAGATGCCATTTTTAGCACAGCTGTTCGGTTATGCATCTGTTTGTTTTCACAAGAATTTATCCAATTTAGTCATTCTATAAGTATGATTTATGTCCTTAGACATATCCTTTTTCTACATATATGAGTTGATCAATACTTTGTACTGATGTTTTGGGGGAGTAGGATCATGCAACTATGTAAAAGGATCATCTTATAACTAATGGTCTTGGAGTATTATGTACAGCGACTTAAGAAGATATCTTGTTATTTATACTTGCTTAGCTGCAAGAAACTACCGCCTTTCAAAAATGAAAAATAATGGTTAAGATTTACTAGATAATAGTAAAGTGGATGAAACAACAATCGCCATTTTAGCCTCTTTTCCTTGCTGATTACTGTTGAGATGCTGGTAGCCAATTACTGAAGAAGTAGTAATGCTATGATAGCAGCTAGCAGGGTCAAAGATGATCAGTTCTACTAAAAAATTATATAGAAATTAGTCTTGTTTTGTCTTTCCTCGGTACTTGTCAATTATATGGAAATATTTGTGACATATTTTTTTTTGCCATTTATTTACATACTGTGATAGCACAGGTTTGAGAACATTAGTGCTTATTAATTATATGGAAATATCTGTTACATATTTTGCTTGCTATTTATTACTTGTTGTGATAACACAGGTTTGAGAACATTCTTTTTCCCCTGTGGAACATTCTCAAAGATTGCTTCAATTGCGAAGAACAGGCCCATGTGTAAGAATATTTCCCTGACAATAATCATCATGTTGAGAGTTGATAATTTTTGTTCCTCCTAGCATTTTTCTTCATTTCCCTGAAAATAGTCATCATGTATTATTTGCCTCCACTTGTTTTACTATGGTGCTGACTTTTCTGCATTTGGATAGTAATTTCCAAGGGTGTGCAGTATCTTGTTTATGTTAGCTAGTGTTAGACCAAACAGATTGGCCTTGCATGTTCTCTGCATCTTGAGTTCTAAAGTTTGTTGTCAACAAAATTCTCCATCAAAATGCTTCCAAATAGGATTCTATGCCACATTTTCTGTGGACTGAATTACTTATGTAATCTGAAAGGCTGGTTGACACTGATAAAAAAAAATTTCAGCATCGTCGGAAGCATGCAATGATATTATGGCATATTCCCTGATATTATCCTGCTGTTGTTACACTTGCTGTGTGAGGAGAAAGCTTCGTCAAAAGCTAAATATTGCGGTAAATTTTCCTGTCCCTTCATATCTGTTGTCAATTGATTTTTTTTCCTGCTTCTCTAAAGTAGAAGTGCTTCATTCTGACCCTACAATGTGAAACTGAGCTACCTCTGGAATTGTTACAGCTCCATGTTATACACTATGGGTCATTTCAGAACTGATTAACTGAACTAGACTATAACTGGGGCTATGGGTCATTTTGGCTAAAGGATTATAAATGAAACTAACTTAACAAAATGTCTGTCTGTCCATTGCTAATGCAGAGGTTTGTTAAAAGATTGGGTAGAGTTTTATCTGAAAGAATTACCATGCACACTATGGAGCGTTCGTATATCCTAAGAGCCTTTTATGTTACTTAAAACTCTGTTTATGTTATGCCGCTGACAGGGAGGTTGCATTGATGATTTCCTATCACATTTGATGTGTTGTTGCTGTGCGCTTGTTCAAGAATGGCGGGAAGTTGAGATTCGTGGAGCTTATGGTGAGTTTCCTACTTCCATGTTATCCAATTAACCAGTTGAGCACGTGGATATTATAGGGAATATACATGGATGATGGAGTATATATAACAGTCCACATTTCCTCCTTAACAGTATCCTAAATACTAGTATATGGCACTGTTGACTTTTATTTGGTCAATCTTTTGAAACTTTGACCATTAATAGCTCTGAAAACATTAAAAAAAACAAGTGGATATATTTTTCTTTATAAGTACATTTACAATATTACAATTTTGTTAGAAATGATCTTAAATTCTAATTGATAAACAGTGATCAGCGTTGCTCACTGAACACGGAATGAATTCAACAGTGTTATATATTTAAAAACAGATGTAGTAAATGGGAAGGAAGATTGTATTATAGTGATATGGTCTCGAATCTTCTACGGTTGAAACATTGCTCTGAAACATTTCATGTCATCATAACCCTGCCGATCTCAAAGACAAGCACAACATGATTTAAATTGCACAAGCAATATTAATCAGTATGCCTCATTTCCTGCAGGAGAGAGGACTAAGATTAGCCCACCCTCATTTCAGTACATGGAACACTAAGCAGCGATGCAAGGCTTGAGCTTCTGTGAAGATAATGACCTAAAGGCTAGAGCAACCCGGTATCGTACTACAATAGTAATGATGACACAGCTACAACATTGTTGTATTTATGCTTACCCTGCATTGTTTGTGTTGGTACTCTGTTTATAGTAACATCAGTTGGTGTTGGGCACAGTATGTTGTATGTAGTACTTTGTAAGAAAAAACACAAGTTACATGCCCTCGTTGTGCTCGTCTCTGTTGAATCCCCCATGCATAATTTAACCTTTAGCTTCATTTGCACTATAAAACAGTAACAATATTAAAAAAGTCTCAAATTGCAAAGGCAATGGGGTCCAGAAACTCGGAGGAAGAAAACTGTTAACAGGTTTCTCAAAAAAAAAAAAAAACTGTTACTAGTAGAGATAAACAATGCGATGCTGGGCCATGCGAACATGATGCAACAATTCAAACAAAGACCATCAACTAAAAAACATTAGACTTTCACCATGAGCTTCCGTTTACCACGACGTACATAAGCTTCCAAGGCTCAAGGCAGGATGTATATTTTGGCAATTTAAGCAGGTACGTCACTGGCCGCCATCTTATTTATCAGTATCTTGGCGAAATCCATTTCATAATCGTCATGTGAAGAATTGTTAAGCATGTGAACAGTTTCACGATGACGCGATCCACGGGACACGCAGACATACATCAACGAAGGTCGTTGAGTTGAGATGACCGTCCTACCAGAGTTCCTCCAGGCTTCCTGTCGAAACTCAAACAACACCGGCAGATCGATGGCCTCACCGGGCGTAGCAGCCTAGGGTGAGTGCACCGGATGCAATCTGGCCGCACGCTACTGCTTTCAGCGAATCGAACGGAACAAGGAGTTCGGATAATAAAACTCCGAACCCCTTTTCAGGCTGCAGTAGAACCAAAGCAAGGGTTCGGGAACAAAACTCCTAACCCGCGTAGCGCAGGTGACCGTCGTCTTTGTGCCCAACTATCTCTGTAGATTGCCATCTCTTGCTCTCGCAGGCTGCAGCAGAAGCTCTTGATAATGAATCAATGCTGGATGAATACAAAGTTCAGCACATTATTGGACGGGATCGCAATGCAAAATCACCGCGCTCGGAGGCAGCGTTCAGCGTGGCCGTGAGACTGCATTGGGCAAAAAGCGAAATCCAACAACTCCAGCGTCTCATGCTCTCAGCCCTGTCAAACTCAAAAACCGGAAAATCGATCGATGGCCTCACCGAGCCACGTCTCCGCCTTCCTCCAGACCACGCAGCTGAAACACCGAATACGAGGCCCGCGACCAATGTACCTTACCGAAGTGAGTATTAGTGTGGGCCATAGTAACTGGGTAGTAGTAGTTGTTCATAGCATCCACAGTGTTTATGTAGGGGATGGGAAGTAAGGTGGGGCCCGCTTTGAAAAAAAACGCAAGTTCGCTATAGACATTGGCTTGATGTGTCAGAAGGTGCTTATACCTGGTGGTAGCACTACTATCCGGTATTAGTTCTTCACCACCTCCATAGTGGTTATTACCCGATAATAAGGTAATATTTAATGCTTACTACTCCCTCCATTTAACAATATAAGTTATTTTAGCATTTTCCACATTTATATTGAAGTTAATGAATCTAGACATATATACCTATCTAGATTCATTAACATCAATATGAATGTGAGAAATGCTAGAATGAATTATATTGTGAAACAGAGGAAGTACCTGCTATTTTGCTACACTGTAGATGCCCTGGGGATCAGAGAATAAAACTCCGAACCCCCTGCAGGCAGCAAGAGAACCTACTCAGCACAGGTCACAGGTGATCGTTCTGTGTGTTGCGCTGCGCCCAACTATCGGCTCGCCTTCGCCGCCGTGGCGTCTCTGTAGACTATCATCCCTTGCTCTCGCAGGCTGCAGCACAAGTTCTTTAGTGGAAATGGACAATTCTGGGCTAATAATGCAGTTATGTGTTTGGTTGACTTGTCGATTTCTTGATAATAGATAGGATCTTGCTTCCGAATCGAGCTCTTAGTCATCGTCTTGAAGGCGTCGATCGTCGACGGACAAGAAGTTTGTCAAGTTAGAATTCCTGCCTTTCAAATTTCGAAGGAGATTAGTCATTTTGGTATGAATTGCTGAGGTGCGTCCTCTTAGTAAAACTGTAATGGCATGGACGTACAAATAACAGAAACCACCATTGAGTTTTGATGCAAAGTTAAGAAGAAAATCGTAACAAATTTTGGGACTTATACTCGTTATTGTTGCCCACAATTGACCTATGAGGCAAGTAGGAACAGATATGTCGCGCTCTGAACAAGTAGCAGAAAGACAGAACAGTTAAAAAAGATCTATCTTTTCGTGGCGCAATTTATATATATATAGTTACAAACTTCTCTATGTCCAATCATCTGGTAAGAACGGGTGCCATCCTAGCAGAAATCCAGACTCCTGTTAGTGCACTCGACGACCGATTCGCTAGCTGGCTGAAGTCTTCGTTCTTCTCAGAGACATGTACGCTAGAACCCTGTAGCCGATGATCATCGCGACCAGAGCTACAACTTCTGTCACGCCGTTGTCAAGAGGTATGGCATTGATCAGAATGTCCGGGACAGGATGATATTGCACCTTCAGCAGTAGCCTGTACGTGTGGTAGTTGAATGACAGGTAGCGGAGCCAGGATATGAATGGTGGAACTCTCTGCATATCATGATGGAGAAGAGGGCAATGCGTAAGACGGAGTAAAGACTTGTTCATTCAGTATGTTCTTCAGCATTGCATCAGTAACACAGGGAAGTGCTTGCTCTCACCTTTACAAAGAACCCTCCTGCTAGCATGAATGTCATGACTGTAACTGAAGCTAGAGTTGTTGCCTTCTTGATATCCAAGAGGCTAGCTCCAATTGCCAATCCTAATCCCTGCATGATTACTTTTTTCTTGAGTAACAGATTTCTAATCACTGCTAATATCCTTTTGAAATATCTAAGATATATGATGGATCAACCAAAATGTTCCCTAACTTATGAATAAACACAGGTGATGACTACAACTTCATGGGAAAATTCCTTGGATTTTGTTCCCATCTCACCATCTATTTAGATAGTTTTGATGTTCATCATACATTCTTTTTCTCATGTAATTGGTGTGTATATAGACAGTACAAGTTCAACTAACAGAATAAACTTTTAGAAAAATAAAAAATGCTATAATTCATTTCTTATATAGGTTTCCTCCTTTAGAAAAGATTAAGGGCCAGTTTGGTTCATGGCCTATGTTGGGCTTACCAATTTATGGGTCAAGTAAACAGTACAAACAAAAGTTTGGTTTGGATCCAAATATCGGCCAGCCTGAGGAGAAAGAATCGGCCACGCCGTCGACAGGAGCCGAATCGCGGGCGTGAAATTTGAACTCCCGCGCGCGCGGCCACACATCGACCATATGTATTCTACGCTGCACACAAAAATATAAGAAGATAAGCTCTAGAGTTCCCAGTTCCCATTTGTCCTCTGTTTTTTGACGCCCTTCATCTTCTCCATCCAATAACCACATCTCCTCCAAATCTTGACCAAGAAAACCCAAGAAGATCCTCATCTGGTCATACACACTCATCTTCTAAACCAACCGAAACAAATAATAGCTCAAATGGGGTAGAGATTTGGGGCTACATCTAGGAGGGATGGGGGCGAGTTGAAACTTGAAAGGGGAGTGACTGCTCAGGAGAAGAACAGGACGAGTACGTGTGTTGTGATTCCAGCAGTAGCTGTACTGACTCCGGCGTGCTCAGTTGCTGTGAAAAACACCATCGATTGCTACAGGAAAAGGTAATCAACTGATGCTCCATCCGTACAATGCTTGTTCATTTGTGCTACTAATGTAGTTATTTATAGTCTGCCATTACCATCTTAACTAGTAGCAATAAAAAACAGTAGGTTGAATAAATCTTACTGTCTTAGTGTTGATTTCTTTGCTCAAAAAAATATACAGGTGTCCATTTACACCTCAGTAATGTTATTTTTAGTCGACAAATCTACATGTTGGCTGGGCACAATATTTATTCAGTAAATTAATTTGTTTTTCACTGAACCGACACATTTCCTTAAGTAATTTGAAGCTGCGTATGTAATCTCATCCAGATGGAGAACACTCGACAACAATATATGCATCACTTCTTGCTAACGAAGAAGGCTGTAGTGGTACTTTGTCTTTTGATCATCATATGGTTGAGGAACAAATATCGTAGGAGGAGTAGTCGCAAAGGGGTAAAATATGGGCCCCTAGTCCACAGGGATGTATGGAGAACAAGTGAACTAATCAGGCTGATCAACATTTCAGATAGGACGTGCACTCAACAATTAAGAATGTCCCGTGCAGTATTCTACAAGCTTTGTGCTCGTCTTAGGAACAAGGGACTACTAGTTGACACCTTTCATGTTTCAGTAGAGGAGCAAGTGGCAATGTTTCTGAAAAAGGTTGGACAACACCATTCTGTTTCATGTGTTGGATTCTCATTTTGGCGATCCGGTGAGACTGTGAGTAGGTATTTTCGTATTGTGCTGCGAGCCATGTGCGAGATAGCTCGAGAACTCATTTACATCAGGTCTACCAATACACATAGTAAGATCACCAGCAAGAAAAACAAATTTTATCCATATTTCAAGGTAATTCTAAACACCAAGCCATAACAATGCATATTACAATACATTTTGTTTATTTTAACTCTAATGTTTCACTTTGATATGTACATAGGACTGTATAGGAGCACTAGATGGTACACACATCAGGGCAAGTGTGCCAGCCAAGAAGGTGGATAGGTTTAGAGGCCGCAAACCATACCCCACACAGAATGTATTAGCTGCTGTTGACTTTGACCTTAGGTTCATATATATCCTAGCAGGTTGGGAGGGGTCAGCTCATGATTCCCTTGTGTTGCAAGATGCACTGTCTCGACCAAATGGCCTTAAAATACTTGAAGGTAATTAAACATTTCAAAGAATTCATGATTAGCCTTGCTATAAGTTGACGTTAGGCTCTATGACATGTTTGTAGGGAAGTTCTTTTTGGCTGATGCTGGGTATGCTGCTAGGCCGGGTATATTGCCGTCTTATCGTCGTGTTCGGTACCACCTAAAAGAGTTCCGTGGCCCTCAAGGGCCACATGGACCTCAAGGCCCAAAATGCCCTAAAGAGCTTTTCAACTATCGTCATTCTTCACTTCGGACTACGATTGAACGAGCTTTTGGTGCTTTGAAGAATCGTTTCAAGATTCTTATGAATAAGCCATTCATACCACTGAAAGCCCAATCAATGGTGGTTATTGCTTGTTGTGCTCTTCATAATTGGATACTTGAGAATGGGTCTGATGAATTTGTCAACGATGAGAAGACGTGGTACGCTCGCCTACCAAGGAGCAGCAACCGTGTCTCTGACCAAGGGGATGATGTACGTGAGTGGGCAGCCAAGCGTGATAACATCGCTCAGCAGATGTGGAATGACAGACACAATGCGGATGTTCATGATGTTTTGACTAGTGAATGAATTACTAGTCCCATGGACTATTAATGATATTATATTTTGTAATAGTTGTGAGGATTGTATGTTGTATTAATACTATTGTATCAGACATTATCATATTAATATATTTATGTTTCTTCCAATCATCTTATTACTTCATTAACTGACTATCATCTGTTCATATGCAATATTAACTTATAATTTTTTCACTGTATGTAGTATGGGAAAGCGTACAGAAGGTACTAGCGAGGAAGGTGGCTCTCGTGAGAAGTATATCAGTTGGAGTGATGATGCTACTCAGTTCATGCTTGAGTGGTATATAGAGCTCCGCAAAGACAAACCTAGTACCTTCAAGTGGAAGAAACAACACCACCAGCAATGTGCTATAGCTTTAAAAGACAAGTTTGGGATTAGAGTCACCAAAAGCCAAGTCCACAGGCACTTAAGGCTATGCAAGGAAAAATGGAGTTGGATTTGTGTAGCTTTAGGGAAAAGTGGCTATGGTTTTGATGCAGCATCATGCAAATTTAACATTGACCCATCTGAGAAGGATTCAAACAAACTTGGTGTAAGCTATATTATTGTGCAATAATTTCTGAGTTATAATTCATACAAGAATGTGCTAAATTTGTTTATTTCTAACTATGTTTCTTCTCATGGCAGACAACTAAATATAACTACTTGACTAAGCCTATCAAATTCTTTCACCTCTTTGAAGAATTATTTGTTGGTTGTTCAAAAGCTGATGGTTCACTAGCAATTGACCAGTTCAATGCAAATGGTAGCAGTGATAGTGATGGCAGTGGTAGCATCAAGGAGTTGGAAGAATACATATTTGCATTGGAAGATGGTGGCCATGATTCTGACACGATAGCTCGCAATAGTCCTACTACTGATGGCACTTATTCAGGGCATAAGCGTAGATCTGTGAAATCACCTACCAAGAAGACTCTGAAGCATAAAACAAGCCACAAAGAAGAAGAACAAGATGAGCTGGCAGGTAGTATCCTTAAGCTTGCTAACAAACTTGCATCAGTTGAACAATCCATTGTAGGAGATCCTAATGCAAGTATTTGGAGGCGCATAGAAGATCTCACCATCCCAGCAAGTGACAAAATTGAACTTGCAACCTTTCTTGCCAAGCCTGAACAAGAAATCTTTCGTTCGTATCTGCGAGTTGCAAGTGATGCAAGTTTCCAAGCTTGGGTTATAGATTACCTTGAGCGCAAATGTGCTTGCAATGGTGGCAATGGGTGCACTATGTGAATCATGTGTCAGGTGGTGACATTTTGGTTAGGGAGCAATGTATTTTGATAAAACCCATGATGCTATATATATGTGATGTATGCTGGCACTATCATGCAGGGGATGGTAGTGTGGGGTATCTAGTAGGGACAGTGCAAACCCTCGTGATGTATATATGTCACTGCTATGTAGTAGGTACTTGTGGTGTGACACATATGAAGTAGGGATTAATGCCAACCCGAATGCTGTAATATATAATGTGCTATGGCTACACTACTATGCAGCTTTCAATTCTGTTTTCTATCATATTGTATCTCAAGGCTTTCAACACACAGCAACGTAGCCATTTTGGCCACAAATGCAAGTACATACCTAGGCTTTCACTTACATAGTAAAGTTTGTATTTTTTTGGATGCTATTTTCAAACTTTTGCAATACGACCATCCACAATAGGATGGCATTTGATGGCATAGCCATTTGATGGCACCAAACCAAACCTGGTTTAGCCAAAAATTGGCAAGGTTAGTTTTGGCCTTTAACCAAACACAATTTAGCCTTTCCAAATATTGGCCATGCCAAATTGTGCCTTTGGCCAAATTTTGGTAAGGCTTGTTTTGGCCTCGAACCAAACTTGCTCTAAAAATAGGAGATGTCAATGGAATTATACCACGAAATTAGCTTGAAATGTACCTGAGCAGCAATGATGCTGAGGAAGACGGTCAACATGCTAAGAAAGAAATGTGCGGCAGTTGCTTTGAGGCCTGCCATGAAGTAGACAATCACCATAAATATGACTGGAAGGAAAAGGTCCAGTGGCAGATCACTTGTCGTTCTGGCCAAGAAGTATGCACTGAGCTTGTACATGTCAGCTGCACGCTCCTTGTTCAACATTGCCCTTTCTTGTGGGAATGTGAAGATGGCAGTAAACACAGGAAAGAAACCCCAAAACACAGCTATGAAAAACAGTAAGCCGGCCTGCATACGCAAGATAAAATTGTGTTATGATACTAATCTTCCTGCATACCCGAGCTGACATATCATTAATAAGCTCTCTGAGTAACCAACTCCGCCATTTCACATGAATCACATTTTCTTTGGCGTAAAATGAATCGCATGATTATTGCTATCTATGTACCTGATCTTGTAGACCTTTTGGTGTCGAGGGATCAGAGTGCCACCATAGTAGACCTAAGATAACTGATGTTGCTATGACCTGGGTGATTCTCATCCAGCTCAAATAATCATGTCGCCGTTCTTTGATCCCTCTACAGAAGAGGATGGAATATTGCTGCCACCAGCTAGTGCCCCATTCTCGCTTTGATGATGTTATAGTTGTCTTCATATCGTCACTGATTGGAAGTGGATCTAGAAGCTGCTTCTTCGCCTTGTATGCCACTCGATTCTCATAGGCGTCTACAAGATACTGCATGAAATCACATATAAATTATTCAGACATCTAAACCAACCCTCAACTCATAACACCAGCACATTGCTTTCATGTCGTCACCTCATGAACATCTTGTGCTGATGGCTTGTAGTCATTCTTGGTATTAGTTTGCAGGTTTTGATTTTCCATGTGCACCTTGTCATCTAACTCGGAAGGAACAGAAACATCAGTAGTGTTTCCGTTGGCGAGATCCAGTAGAAATTCTGCTGGGTTCATTGCGATGAGCGGGGTGCACCCAATGGACTGAAAGTAGGGCATGGCTTCAGATGCCTTCCCAAAATAGAGCAAACTTCCTCTTCCCAGGAGGATAAGCTTGTCAAACTTATGAAATAATCTGCTAGATGGTTGATGGATTGTTGTTATTACTGTCTTCCCATCCTGCAACATGTCAAAAGGTTAAAGATGAATTGAACTAGTTGCCAGCTAATGTGTAATACTCTCATGTCACCTCAGCTATATCATGTAGAAGTTGAATTATCCTGAGAGCTGTAGTTGAATCCAATCCAGATGTTGGTTCATCGAGAAAGAGTAAAGATGGATTTATTATGATCTCATTTCCAATGCAAACTCTTTTCCTTTCACCCCCTGAAACCCCACGGACGAAAGATCCACCAATCATCGTGTCCTGGCACCTTCAAACATCATCAGATAATTAATTAAGCTAATTTCTAAGAATAGGTGCATGCTACCATACAGGAAGTGGAGCGTTTTTCAAACTACCTTTCAAGGCCAAGTTCATATATGATGTCTATTGTTCGTTCTTCCTTTTCTTGCCTCGTCATTGTTCTTGGGAGACGAAGCAGTGCTGCATAAGTCAATGTCTCCTTTACAGTAAGATGAGTAAAAAGAACATCATCTTGAGTCACAAATCCAATCCTGAAAAACGAGTATAAAACCAATCATTCACTATACTCTTGGACAAACTTTGAATTAGTTTGTCCATACAGGCTCAAGCTCAACTTTGGTGCTCTGACGATCCAAACCATTGGTACAAGCAGATGTTTTGCATATAAAACCTTGTAGAATGTTGAGGGTAGTTAGTCTAGTCAGACAGTGCGAAAATTGCTAACAATAAGGAACCAGGATATCTCTCAGTTCGAATTGTTTGCCGAATTGGAAGCGGAAAAAGGAGAATACTACATGGTTTTTAATTGGCGATTCTACTAAAGTGGTGTTATGTTTGAGTGTCTAACCAACTTAGTAGCTAGGTTACACCAACACAATTTAAAGGACTAAGCAGAAGAACAGGTGGAGGTAGAGGCAGAAGCAGAGGCAATCCTGGTGACAAAGACAAGCATCCAAAGGAATTGCGGGACAGAGACCCTGGTGCAGTGGTGTTCAAGACGAAGTGGACCTCTAAACACCGGAGACCTGTAAGCTCAGACTACTGTAGGCCTCAGGTGATGCAAGTGTTCACTGACGTGAAACGTGTGCTTACTAATACTACCTCCAGCATCGGTCAGGAGATACATCGAACAGCTTATCGGCAGGAAGGGCATGACTGGAACCTCACCTCACCAGAGCACGCTACGACATGGCGCAGACATGCGATCGAGAACAACGGGCAGGCGACTCCCTGAACGTCCCGACCGTGCTCCGCCGCACAAGCCGCCGGAGTTTCCATGAGACGACGACGACGACGAGGCGTCGCCGCGCGGCGCGCCCAAGCAGACGAGACCGTGAGAGACACAGGTGACCAGGCGACAGCCATAGCCGCGGGCAAGAGCCGACCAAAGGCATCACGGCCCATGCGCCGGGACGCACGATTGGGCCACCCAATTCGGCCCAAAAAGAACATGTCGGCTGCTCGGCGTCGGCAAGGCCCAATTCTGGCGCCGCCCATTAGACAGAATAATAATGACAGGTGCGCGGTACGTGCCAGAATCGGCACGTCAGATGTGCAGTTCCCCTGCGGCCAAGGCAGAGGGAAGCTGGAAGAAGAAGACAGTAGACAGTACAACTGTAGCAGCGATGAACAGGTAGCCAGATTTAGCGAGATAACCGTGAGCCTTGCCTTGCTAATCTCTCCTTTATTATAGCCAGCCACACAGCCTATGCATGCAGTATGGTACTATGCTGTGCTCTGTAGCTGCAAGCAACAGCTGATCGATCTCATCTCATTCTTATCACTTTCGTTCCCCAGCTAGTGACCCATCGACCAATGAGAAATTTACAATTAGTGGCTCCATCAGTTGGGCTAATAACCCAAAGAAAAAAACCAAAATTTAAATTTTAAAAATTAATTTTGAAGTTAATTTTAAGATATTTTCAACATATTTTCTTTTTCAGCATTAGCTTTTAAATCACTAAGAATATATATAAAAAAATTATCTACAAATTAACTTTTATTTTCTAATAAACCGTTTTAACTTATTGGGAATATGAGCAAACGGTGAGGTTTTAGGGCTCGCAAATAACTAATTGTAAATAATTTAGTTAATTGATTAATTAATAATCCTGGCCCCGGAGGAATTAATTGGTGATGCCACATCGTGTACGAACAAGTGCATGCTACGGAGTAACTAATTAATAATTAATTAAGACGCTGCATGCATCTATTGCACGCGATCAGAGAGGTCAGAGGATGAACCTTCCTTTGTGTTGTGTTACCTGCGGTTGAGGGACTTGCAGTATGGCTCGTCGTTGTAGGAGACGCAGCCTTCGACGTCGCCGGGGCCGGCGACCCTCCCGCCGAGGATGCTGAGCAGCGTCGTCTTGCCGCTCCCCGACGGGCCCATCAGCGCCAGCACCTCGCCGGGCGCCGCCGACCCGGATATCCCGCTCAGGATCTCCCTCGGCGTACCCTTCACCGCCACCTTGTACTTCACCTCCGCAAACTGCACGAACGAAACGAGTCTCATCTCATGTAGCATTAGCTCACTGAACCTCTCGCATGCCGGCGGCGTACGTCCATGGAGCTTGGGATAATCGATGCGTTTGGTCGATTTACCTTGAGATATATCGGCAACGTCGGCTCGGTCATCAGCTTCTTGCGCGGCGTCCCGGCCTCGATGTCCATCGCTGCATACGCACAGCGGCACAGAGAATGAGAATATATATATTAGGGAAGTGATTTCATCTCTCAAGGAGATCGGATATCCCTCGTTTCGTCTATATTATCTAAATATCTATAAAAAAATTAAAAAAATTAGTAACATAAATTAATATAAAATATATCACTCCACGAAAATACAAATTTAAATTCAATTTTTATAAGTTGTAATAAAAATGACAAATATAACTACGAAAGGTACGATAACCATATGTGCATGCAGTTAGGATCAGTAGGAGTGATTGGATGCATACTGTTGTCGTCGTCGCTGAAGGGATGGAGCTCGGCGGAGGACATGGTGTCCTGGGGAGGAGGGGTGAAGCCGGTGAAGGTGAAGGAGAAGCCGAGGCTGGCGCTGGAGGCGCGGCTGAGGGCGGCGCCGCTGGAGACGAGGTCCTCCATTTCGAGCTTCAGCTGCGCGCTGCGGGACTTGCGGATGTGGCTGTTGTTGTTGTTGCTGCTGCTGTAGCCGTGGCTGTTCCCACCGGCGCCGGCGCCGCCGGACGCCGAGCGCTTCCCGAAGCTGGACTTGCGCGACAGGCTCGTCGTCGTCGTCACGTCGGCCGTGCTCAGCACCGTCTCCGCCGACGCCGTCCTGCTCAGCGACTGCGCCGACGACGGCGGCGGCGGCGGCGCCAGCTGGTCCGACTTGGTCCGCTCAATCATCCCCCCTCCCGTGTCCATCATCGGCTTCTCCATTATCGACTCCATGAACGAACACGAACAAACTACCTAGCTAACACCGTCACGTTCCTAGCAAGCACATTTAGAGCAGTAGCTTTTACACGAGACGAGCCGTTATATACACAGACACAGAGTGATGGGAAGGCAACACACGCAGCTAAGGCATTTGGCAAGCGAGCGATGGAGGTCACGCGTGTGAGGTGGATTGTGGCGAGGGCGACGTGGGGGGGAGGCAGCGGAGGGGCAGGGGGCGCGCCAGCGAAGCGCGATGCGGGACGCGGGGCATTAATGGAGCGGGAAAGCGCGGGTGTGGCTGGGCGCGCTCAGGCAGCCAGCTTCCACACATGCCGGCCTCACGACGACGTATCGCGCAGGGCACCCGCGCGAGCCCCCGCCTGCGGCTAGCTTAGCCCGCGACAGGGACGTCCCCGGCCACCTCGCCTTCCTCGCTCTCTCGCTCGCGGAGGCCTCAGGCGCGCGCGCGTCCCTTGCAGATCGATCCAGCGCGCGTGCGTGTGCGTTCGGTTTAGGCGTACGTGCGCGCGGGCGGCAGCGGCGGCACCGATCCTTTTAAGTCAGCTTATTGGCTTATATAATTTATAAGCCGGTGGATTTAATGTCCTAAGTTTAGTGGTTTAGTTATACATCTACCTTACATAAGCCAAAAAAAACTTCTCCAACCTAGCTTTTGGCTTAATAGTGTTAGAGTGGCTTATGGCTTCCAAAAAGCCAAACGGAAAAGCTGCTTGTTTGTTTAGGTTTAGACTTTTCGACTTATAAGTTGGCTTATAAGCCTAAACAAAGAGGGCCTTAGCCCCTCCGCACAAATTGAGGCGCTGGGTGTGAAACACAAAATGATGACCTATTTAGCAAATGCTAACGTAAAATAAGTGTTTAGTTCACGCCAAAATTGAAAGTTTGGTTGAAATTGGAACGATGTGACAGAAAAGTTGAAAGTTTATGTGTGTAGGAAAGTTTTAATGTGATGGAAAAGTGAAAAAAAAAGTTTGGAACTAAACTCGTCCTAAGTAAAGTTCCTTTAGGCGATACATCCATATCTTTACTTGATGCCATATTATTTACTCCATCCGTCCCAAAATAAGCACAACTATGAGTTTCCGTGTCCAACTTTGATCGTTCATCTTAATTAATTTTTTTTTAAAAAAAAATAAAAAACATAATTTACACATAAAGTACTATTCATGTTTTATAATCTTACAACAACAAAAATACTAATAAAAAAATTAAATAAGATGTACGATCAAAATTGGATACTGAAACTAATGGCTGTACTTATTTTGGAACTGGGAAGTACAATTCATTGCAGGGTTGCTCTATCTCCCGATCGATGCTTTAATTTTTCTCGATCCAAATCACTGTCGGACTGCCGGTGGTCGTTTATCCACATTCCATGTTAGCATAACCACGATCAAGCATGGTCGGATGGTCCTGTTCATCGGTTTACCTATGCCTTCTATCAAACAAGCAGTAATTTTGCGCGACCAATAACAGCTAACTCATCACCACCTAATTAAAAACAGTATAGTGGCCATATGCCTAGATAGGATCTAGGAAGAAGACTTGTGTGCGTCATGATGTAGTGATTTAATTTTTCTTACTAATGTTGTGTTTAGTTCCACGTTAAAATTGGAAGTTTGACTAAAATTAGAAGAAAAAATATTGAAAATTTATGTATGTAGAAAAAATTTGATGTGATGGAAAAGTTGAAAGTTTGAAGAAATAGTTAGGAACTAAATAAGGTCTAAGCAAGATCTTCAATATTTGGAACGCACATTCACATCATGATCATGAACTATCTTTGAGGTGGCCATTATTGTTTCCAAACACTTGTGAGGGCTGAGAAAAACAAGCATCTAATTAAATTAATGAAGGATAAAGAGATTTTTTATTAAAATAATAATATGAACGCGAAAACATGCTTAGAATGTACTAACGGCTTAGGAGTGAAATATAAAATTTTCGAGCCCTAGGCAATGTACAGCCCCTATATACGATCTTCTAGCCATAACACAGGAAAATTCGGAGCAGGCAAAAGTCGTCGATCGCAGCTGCGCAGGAGTCAGGATGGACATGCTTGGCATGATGCCTCTTTCTGTTTTCCGTGCTCACACTGTCGTCACACAGTGCAACGATTACCATATATCATTCGTGAAGAGAAACACGAGTACACGAGCGGTCGAGCATCCTAATCTCCTTTTTAATTTTTTTTTTATTTTTGAAAACAAGCATCCTAATCTTGACGAGGATGAAAGTATCAGCAACGGCCCCAATGCTATTGTTGACAAGAGATGTGATGTGGCTGTGGCTACTGGCTGGAATACGGTACTGCATGTAGATGTACTCCACTCCAGTAGGCAGTACGCCTGCACAGTCTTTTCCTGACTGTTACGGACGCGGAAATGTTTGTCCGGAGAGGAGAATGGTCTCTGCTAACCGGAAGACCGGAACCACCGACCAATCGGGAAACGGCGTGGCGTTGCCAGTACTGATTGGTACTACTGGGTAGTATCTTTGACCTCTTGGTTAATGCACTCTAATGCTCCATTTATTACGAAATATTGACGAGATATTTAAAAAAAACATACTCTCTTCATTCTAAAATATAACTACACCTATAATTATTTCAAAATATAACAATTTATATACCAACATTTTCTTTTCAACCAATCACAACCCTTCACTATTAATTTTTCTCGCCAACCACCACTTCTTAATCAATAATAATATATTTATATTTAATTTTATCTATTTTTTTAAATAATTATGTGCAACTCTAAAACTTTTATATTCTAACGGATATAGTAATTAACGAAAGTTAGCTCGAACCTTAAGCGATAAACATGCAGCCTTCCCATTTTATCCGTGAGGATTTCTTTCCGGTTCATTCTTGTTTCCTACCCGCAGTTTAGATTGGCCTTTTATCTCCTGTTACGGTTATTTTTTTGGGATACATGGCGTCATAATTCTAGCAATCCCCTTCCTTTTTATCCTCGTGTTGCCTGCGCGTTAACTTTCATGAAATTTGTTTCCAATTTAAATTTGTAGCCTGAGATTGCAATCTTACAACATAACAATTTTTAAAATTCACATTGCATCTTTTGAAATTTATCGTGTAAATATGGAACATATAATGTCAAATACATATTAAAAAATTAAATATTTTTTATGAAAAATATGACACTAAACATATTTTTTTTTTATTTTCCAATTGGCGAGCCCGCTCGTGTATTTATTACTTTGTCTTGTTCTTGCATGCTACCGCAATGCAATGCTTGCTTTCTCCGTGTGTTCTTGCATGTATAAACAGTTCGGTCTGTCTATGCCTATTGTCAATGGTTAATATGGATATACTGTTTATCTTTCATTTCAATTTAAATACATGCAACGGGCAGGTATGTAGAGTTCTAGCGTGAGGTCAATCACACGTGGGTGCGGTGCGTCTCCTCCTCGCTTCTTAGGGCACCTACATGGGTTTCAAACGAATTAAGAAATATAAGTTTGAAAAACTATTTTAAAAAACTAACCAAAGGAAAACAAATTCTAATCAAAGTATTTGTGTGTATAATATTCGTGCGTATAAACCTTTTATATATAAATGTATACATTGAAATATATAAATGTATATATATACATTGAAACTTTATAGCACATATAAACTTTGTATGCAAAAACTTTTAATATAGCAACATTATGTATAAAACATTTGATCCAAATCTGAATCAAGCAAATAAACTTTCAATGTATAAAATTTTTTATATACAAAAGGAAAAAAAGTGTGGTGTGAAAAAGGAAGGAGGTGGTGCACAGGTGCATGATCATCCACGCGAAAGCCGTTTCGGGTAGACATTAACCAAAAGCGAGTGAACAGTGAGTTTTTATATCACTTTGAGTACAGCTTTTTCAGAAAAAAAAACTATTAGGAGATGCCTAACTTTGAATTAAGGTGTGGCCAAAATACCCACGACGAAACACTACATGCCTTTACCTTCAAATTGATATTGCCATAGTCAAGCATTACATATAGGAAAAGGAAATAATAAAATTCAACAGGTTACATTCGTATAAGTGCACGGAAGAAATAGTAGGTTCTTTCTTTCGCCACGTATAAGCTTTTTCACGAAACATATCGTTTAGTAGTTTAAAAAATATGCTCGCAATAAGTTATCAGCAAGTAGCTGAAAAGAATTGAACCTAAGAGTTGTTTCTGTACGCAAATGATTAGGTCATACATACCAGCTCCAAGAAGTCAAGAAGAGGCATAGGCGAAGGACACACAAGATATTTTGGAGCAGGCAAAGTCGCATGAATTATCTGAAAAAGCAAAATCGGACAACAGCTGCGAACACAGCTCTTATCTGTTTTCTCTACTCCACACGGTGCAAACAATTACTGATAACTCGTGCAAAATCATCAACACATGCATATCCTAATTATCTTGACTAGGACCATCATCTCTAAAAATATAAGACCCCGGCCCCGTGCGAAATGTAAAATAGGTCTCTAGCTAGATTCATGCCACCAAACATACTTTCACTGTTTCCTCAAGCCTCATCGAATCTTGCATGTCTTCTGGGCTTAGCGAGATTAAAAAAAAAGAAAATAAAGCAAGATTGAAGTGAAACCTTGAATTGAGTAAGACAACTGATATTGAATTGAGGAGGGAAAAAAATCACCAGTTTGTGTTCTGCATTCACTAGACGAACCGAAGAAAGAGTGGGCTAAATTGTGCTTTCTATTGGTTAACATATGGGCTATTTTTTTTTTCTCTCTGAAGCATGGTACTTAAGCAAGTGCATTAGAATTCAGGGCCTCAATTTGTAGGGTGTCCTATACAGCTGATCACCTGCCCTTGCTAAGCTGATCGAAAGTATTAGCAGCTGAGATGGGTGTTAGGTGGTGTTTACATCCAGGGACATAACTTTAGTCCTTGTCTTTAGACACTAATTTAGAGTATTAAATATAGACTACTTACAAAACTAATTACATAAATAAAAGCTAATTCACGAGACAAATTTTTTAAGCCTAATTAATCTATAATTAGAGAATGTTTACTGTAGCATCACATAGGCTAATCATGGATTAATTAGACTCATTAGATTCGTCTCGCAAATTAGTCCAAGATTATGGATGGGTTTTATTAATAGTCTACGTTTAATATTTATAATTAATTTTCAAACATCCGATGTGATAGGGACTTGAAAGTTTTAGTCCCATCTAAACATGGCCTTACTGTTAACAAGAGGGCCCTCACTGCTGTTGAGTGTTGACAAGATGTGGAGTGGCTGGTGCATGTACGTCTTCAGAGTCTCTTTCGAAAATTACTGACAAGGAAATGTTTGTCTCAGAGGAGAATGGTCTCTCTGTGAACCAAAGACGGGAAGCACCGACCAATCGGGAAACGGCATTAGCCATTGACCCCCTTGGTTTAACGCACTCTGCTGCACCATGTATGACGAGACGTACACGTAAGGGAACGTGCGGTAGGTAGTAGTAGCAGGCAAGAAAATATCAGGAAAAATTCTTCCTTGTGCAGTCTTGCATGCTTGCAGGGGGGGTGTGCCCGTTCCCTGAAGGGAGTAGCACTATCGATAAATTTTTCCTCAGACGTATAAATATAATATAATTACAGTGTTATTAAATTATATCATAATATAATTTATATTAATTTTTTAAAAATCTCATGGTACACGCTATTTTTCACGAGGTAAAGTTCACAAGACGTAATCTCCTCCCGAGCACGTGCTATGATTTTTTTCTAACAATTTAAAATTATGTGAAAGTTGCATACAAGTTTAGTTTTTTTTAAGTAGTTATATACAAGTTATATCATAACTACATAGAAGTTATAATATAATTACATTTTAATTATAATGTATTTATATTAATCGAGAAATACTTTTATAGCAAATAAATCTTTCGTGGACATGTGGATGCAGAATCTGCTCGCTGCCGCCCTGTTCGTGCCATAGCGCAACCCAGCTCCGCTCTTGGGCCGGAACGGGATTCCGGCCTACGTGATCCCCGTTACTGTTGGGCCGGAACGGCATTACGGCATCCGTGCGGGCCCTGTTATGGTTGGGCCGTACCGGGGATTCCGATCTCCGTGCGGCCCCGGGAGGGGGGCGTGGTGGAGGACGAAGGCGACGGTGGCAAAATCGGCGACGGCGACGGCGGCGGCGGCGGCGATGGCGAAGGGGAGGGACGCGCGGTGGGAGTAGATACTGTAGTCGTGCGTGCTCCGGACCAGCAGCAGGTAGCGGCGCGGGGAAGGAAGCTACTGGTGGGGGACAACCCAGATCCCTCGCCCGCGACTCTTCTACTCGCGCTCGCACGCCCTCGTCGGCCGCGCCGCCGCCGCGGTGATGGAGTCGCCGCCGGAGTCCTCCTCCTCCTCCCCGGTCCTCCTCAACATCGGTTCGCTCCCCTTCTCCCTTTCGCAAAAACTCGCTCCCCATCCCCACCGCTCGCGTGAATTTAGAGGCTGATGGTGATGGTGGTGGCTATGGCGCAGGGGGCAAGAGGTACGCGACCACCGTCGAGACGCTCACGCAGCGGGAGCCCAGCTCCATGCTCGCCGCCATGTTCAGCGGGAGGCACACGCTCCCCCGGCACCCGGACACGGTACGCCGCGTACTCACCAGTGGAGCTCTCTTCTCGGGAGCTGTAGCCTCAGAGGATGAATGGTGGGTGCAGGGCATGGTGTTCGTGGACAGGGACGGGAAGCACTTCAGGCATGTCCTCAACTGGCTCAGGGACGGCGCCGTCCCAGACATGTCGGAGTCTGAGTACCAGCAGCTCCTGCGAGAAGCGGAGTACTACCAGTTGCTCGTAATTGGAATTCTCGATCGTTTCTTCGATTCATCAGGTTGCAGCTTCCCAATTAACCAGCCGTTGTGAAAACATGATGGTTTGTTTTCCAGGGCTTGGCTGATTGCATAAATGATAGATTGGGTTGGAAAAATGATGAGAATTTCTCGGAGGCCGAATTGACACGCAAAGATGTGATCAAGTGCATCCAAGCTCCGAGAGTCAGATTTCGTGGTGTAAATCTATCTGGCCTTGATCTATCCAAACTTGTAAGGTCTTTATTGTTGTTCTCTATTGGAGTTGCTCATTTTTTGTTATGGTTATTACCACTCCATTCTAGTTGCTCTTAGCAACTCTGATTTCGTGTGTGTTCAACAGAAATCAATAAAGCATTTTATTTTTTTTCTTTAGTTTCTTGTAATTTTGTGACTTTTACGGTCTACAGGATTTATCAGAGGTGGACTTCAGCTATGCATGCATAAAGAATGCCAATTTTTCCTCTGCTTATCTTCGTAAAGCAAAGTTCAGGGTATGCCATTCACACCTAAGTTCTTCGTTGTTTAACTGCTTTTGATGAAGTAGTAGCCCTTAGGAACTATGCTAGTTATCATAATATTTTAAGGCATTTTAGTTCTGTCACAAAAAAATATCTAAGTCTTTGTTTTTTGTATGACTGTCAAATGTTGTATCAGTAATACCTTACCTTGTATGTTCATGACAGCTGACAGAAGCTACTTGTTCTTCATTCCAAAGTGCAAATTTACATGAGTAAGATGGTCCAACCAGTTTCTTTTAGCTTATAGATAGGCTCTAAGATGAAACACGGTCTCTCCTTTTTTACTTTTGTGTTTTTTTTTTGTGTTGGATGCATAAGCAAGCAGCTAACCATCTATTTCCTCCTTTTTGTGTTATTTTTGTTTCGCTGTGTTATTGTAATTGCTTGATTTGGAATAACAGGTGTGAGCTTATTGGAGCAAATCTTGAAGGATCTGTTCTAGATAAAGCAAACCTTCAAAGTGCAAACCTACAGGGTATGTAATCCCTTTCTTTACCTGTCTTCCGTTTTATGTTATATGTTTCCAAAAAATACTATTATGCTCAGGATTATCCTGTTTCTTCATTTTCTTGGCTTTTGACATCCTTTTCACCAGGGAAGATCATCGTCCCTGTAGTATTAGACAATGTAGCTATGCCTATTTTGCTTTCACTCTCTCCTATTCAGGGTGTGCTTATATTCTTGTAAAAACTAAGTAGGAAATGATTGAGTTGCTAGGCTTATTTTGCAGATGCATGCTTAAAGCAATGTTGCTTCATTGAAACGGATCTTCGTTCTGCTCATCTACAGGTTTGAAAGTTTATTGTACATGGTGTGTTTCATGAATGTTCCCAGATTCTCGCGCTGCTATTCTGCTAACATATTGCATTCCTGGTCAGTATACAAGAAAAAGTGAAAATCATGATGAACATTAGCATAAAGCAAAGCATTTCTGTTTTTTTTTAGAAGTTAGTTTTCTGCTGCTAGAGGTGATCGAATATCTAGTTTCCATCCTTGCAATATTTTGTATCATCCAAACTTCCAAAGTTTGGCTGCAAAATTTTGTCCTTGCCCAAAGTATTATCTGCAACACATAGACATATATTTTGTCCGTACAGGCTTGTATCGTCTCTTCCTGAACATTTGAATATAAGGCATAAAGGCTCCCTATTCCAAATGGTTTTCAGTAACTTAAAATACGTTGATATTTGGGTTCTTATTACTCATTTCCTCAGTGTCTTATTGTCAGTCCAACTGGATTTTCAGGGTGCTAATCTTATGGGCGCCAACTTGAGTGGAGCTAATCTTGAAGGGGCCAATCTCAAGGTAACAAAAATGGCCCCATTCAACCTGCACTTTCATCCTGCCTGTCATATGTAACTTAAGGAAAGCTACTTGAGGGGGTTAACCACAGAGCTCTTACACAAAGACAGAAAAAATGATTCTAATGTATCCAACTCTTCTTTTACTGCCAAGCTTGAAATAAAGTGTCTGAAGTTTGCACTAGGAAATAACTCTAGAAGAAAATCACCAGGAGATGTTCCAAAGGCATGAACTGATGCTGAGATGTGCATGTCATGTTTTGCTTACAAAATATTAACAAATAGGGATTTGCGAAAGAGATGGTAATCATCTTAATTGATGATAATGCTTGCATATAAGGTTTTCTTTTTTGTAAACATGTGATGTTTGACATGAGTGAAAAGGTTTCGACCTGTAGTAAGTGTGATAACAGTGCAAACCCGTTATACTTAGAACCATGAAACCATGACTGTTTGATATGAAATCATGGTTAATCGTGTACTGAAGTGTACATTAACGAAAGGTCATTGGCATTAACACCAATCCCTCTTTTCTTGTGCCTTAACTGACAACCCAGTTCCTTGTCCTCGCTTTGTTATTCAAACTTCTTTATCCGTACTCTAAGCTAGTCTGATTTGCAGGGAGCTAAGTTGGCCGGTACAAACTTGGAATGTGCAAATCTTCAGCGAGCCTACTTGCGAGAAGTTGATTTGCGCGAAACTGTATGTTGTCCTGCTTGCTGCTTGCTTCTTCTTTTTTTTCCTCTCTCTCTTTTCAGTCTAACTAAATAGTGAACAGTGAAAGAATCTAAACTTACTTCTTAAACTATGTTTTACTTTGACTTACAGCATTTAACTGGTGCTAAGCTTGGAGGTGCAAATCTGCTTGGAGCTATCAGATAATACCAAGGGAAGAAGCTTATATCTTCTACATTTACAATTAAACTGAAACTGGTGCTTTGGTACCTCGAACATTATCTTGCCTGCACCAACGGTTTGTTCATGAGTAAATAGTTTCTTGCTACCGATTCTGCAGATAGTCATACAGCTTTAGTCGGCGGTTGTACATATACCCTTGTCACATTCCTCTGATTCGAAAATTCGGTGATGAACTGTTGGATACAGCTAGTTGCTTAGTATCATCATGGATAGAAGCTGTTCTAGTAGGAAAATTTCCTGCATACTTTGGGATATTGTTGTGAACAATGACTGAAAATTTTAGTGGGAAATATATCTTCGTTAATGTGCATACAATTTTCTTTTCATCATATTTACTCTTCCTTTAAGCTTTCAGTAAAACCGGGCTCAAAAGCGAGGAAAATCATATTTTACTCTTGTTCATGAACCTATGGAACTTTTGATGATGTAGAAATTACCACTTGTATAGGCTGCAGAGATCGATCATAGATACAATTAACTGCAAATCAAATTTGTTTCGGTTATAATTTGCGTGCACAGAACACTTGCGTTTCCACACGTATTCCGAAAGGAAACGTTGGCAATAGGTAGCAATATGTACAAGGTGAAGGTATCGAACGTGTAAGCTACGTGCAGGCTTCCGAAACTTGCACGTCGTCGTTCAGGGGGGCTCACGCATGCAGGATCACTTCAGTGTGTCAGACGCGCATGGCGATCAATGGTCGGAGAAGCCGATGAGACCATGTCCGCCGTCCGCCGCCGACGGATCCATCATCAGCCTGTACTTGGCGTAGAAGCCGGCGGCGGCCACCAACGCCAGCACGACGGCGAGGACCACCCTCCACGGCGTCTTCCTCCGGCCGGTCACCAAGGCGGTGCCACCCGCCGCCGCCCCGTCGTTGGCCGCGCCATCGTCATCTTCTTCTTCCTTGTCCTCCTTCTCTTGATCTGCTGGTGCAGCGGTTTGCTGCGCCTGCGCGGCGCCATGATCGGCGGGTGCGGCGGCGGCGGCGGCCTTGGGCTCCTCTTCCGCCGGCGACAGCTTGGGCATGGTGATGTGGAGGACGCGGTCCCTGGAGTCGAACCTGGCGCGGACGTCGCCGGCGTTGCAGTCATCGGGGACCTGGAAATCCTTGTGGAAGCGGCTCCACCGGTTGCCGGAGACCTGCCGCTCGCCGCTTATCCGCAGCTTCCCGTGGTTGTCGATCTGCACTCTCAGCTGCTCCTTCTTGAACCCTGCAATTGCACCCGCCATCCAAAATGACACATATCAAACCTTGCATTGCATGAACTGAGCAATAAAAAACAATTTGTATTCGGTCTAAAAGTTGGTGTTGAAAAACAGAATGCGACGAAAAACCTCTAAAATCAAACTGCAGTTCCCAAAATTGAAATTTAATTTTGTTGCGGCTCATAAGCGAAGAGGTGGGAAGGAATAATGCTCTTGCCTGCGGCAGATAGGTTGATTTGAAGGACCTTCTTGCCGGCCTCCTCGACCAGCTGGTGCGGCGGAACGAAGTCGGTGTAGTTGCGCGGCGAGGTGGCGGCAGCAGCGGCGGCGGCCATGGCTGCAGGTGGTCGATCACTGACCGGTGATCAGGTGCTCAGGCTATGATCACTATCAGGTGTCGATTGATCAGTTGCAGGTGTGGTCGAGTTGATTTGAGAGGAAGCCGGTGTTCGTGCACATATATAGTGTGTGGATTCAGGGTTGTTTGGAGTGCGATGCAGGAGGAAGGATTGCTTCATTGGACGGCGTCTGCAGGGGGCCGGCCGCGGGAATGAAGCTACCTTGCTTAATTAATTTGGTTGCGCTCCCTCGGTGATATACCTTGTCTAGCCTTCGCCAACGCATACAGATTTCCCCCACAAGGAATCTGAACCGTGCTGTTGTTACTTGTTCTTGTTCTCACAGTATAAGTATTTCCTGCGATTTTCTGTGGTTTGTTCTGGGCGGCACTGTCGGGATGTCGGCAGTCGGCACGGTAAAAGAAAAAAAGAAAGAAGAAAAAAATGTGCGTGAAACACCGCCTTGTCAAGCCATCTCCCGTTCTCCATTGGGCCGGGCCCGGCCCACTGGCCGAGTGAAACTGTACAGTAGACTTGCAGTTCCAGGTTATTGAGGTCAGACGGGTCGTTGAACCGGCGAGGACCTCAATGAATGAACCAACGGTCCAAACGGTCAAACCAATTAACTATCGAACCGAGGGCCGCCGGTTCAACGACTGGTCCGATCTCAATAACTATATTCTGAGCTGCTACAGACTCACATGCACCTGTCCAGCGGTTCGGTGCCGATTTTTTTATCGGTCTTAAGCGGTTTTCTCAAAATCTATGTGTCTAGCCGGTTTTTACCGGTTCACTTGCGTAGACGGTCTTTTAACTGGATCAGACCGACGAAAGCTTTGGTTCCGATCCAACCGCTGCTCCGGTCCGGTCCTATGGTTCCAGCCGAGCCGAGCCGAGCCGACGAGAAGCTCTAGAAGAGTGGCGTTGGGGACGTGGACGGCGAGAGCAGGTGACGCGTTCCCGCGCGACGCGGGCCGAGGTGGCGAGCTGCATGCGCCTCATGCACGCACACCAACGCACCAACCAGCGAGTTCACTCTCCCATACTACTAGTACCACTCTACTAGACTCCGTTCGCTGACACGCCCCGTCCACTCTTGTCCACGCTGCGCCGCGCAGTGTCGCGCACACCCCAAAACCCCAACCAACCAAACAACCCGACCCGCGGCCATGGATGCGGCGGCGGGCGGCGGCGGCGAGCCTTCGCCGGCGCCGGGAGTGGGCGGCCGGAAGCACCTCTCCTCCATCGCCAACCACGTGCTCCGCCAATGCTCCCTGTGCGTACTTTCTCTAATCCTAAATCCTAATCAAACCCTGTTGATGGTTGATTTCTCCATCGTGTAGAAACTGTGTTGTTGTTGTTGTTGTTGTTGTTGTTGTTGTTGTGTGTGTAGAAACTGTTGCTATCAATTCGAAAGAAACTGGCAGTGTTTTCCTTGTAGCAGACTCATGTGCTTTGATCTTGTACGAACAGAACATATTGGTATGAAGCTTCACTACTTGAAATGAAGCCGGATTACATGTTTGGGCATTTTATTTGACCGCACAAACTGCTTCCAAATTAAACCTCTAGCGCGTCAGTTATTCATTAGTAACTATACCCTGTATTTGCTAAACGTCTCTAGTTCTCTGATCCATATGTCCAAAACAATCTGAATACTATAATTTCTAACCATGTCACTGTAACCATGTCCTGATACCATTAGTAATATATTATAGCAATTATTCTATTCGGTGCATGATTCATACGTAATCCTTATAGCTCGTCGGGAGTCAGGACTCAGGACTAGAAATGGCAAGAGTAACTAATACGGGGTCATGGCTTAATTACAGGACATTGGACAGAAGTGTTGATGAATTAGTTGCAGACTTTGAGCTCGGTTTGAAGACTGCTGCGGTGGATAACTATTCAAGAAGACTTGTCGAGTTCTGTATCCTTCAGGCGCTGCAAGTTGTTACATCTGTTGATCTAGGAGACAAGATCCATGATGGATCGCTTAGTCGGTTCACATTTGATATGATGCTGGCTTGGGAGACACCCACTCCTTCAGATCAACAAGTTACCATGGTTTGTGATTTTTTTATATTTGTGTGAAATTGTGTGTTTGTGTTCTTCTGAAATCTGATCTAAACTGACCAATATGGTGACATTACAGGAGAGCATAGCTAAAGAAAGAGAGGATAAGAAGGAGCCGCTCGGAGCAAATGAAGCTGTCATGGGCGATGAGACCTCACTGTTCTATTCAGATATCATGCCTCTTCTCGTATGTTAACACATAGCTGATTAAATTCCTTTCCGTAAAATTTCTTCAAGCTATTCATCGGTAATGATGTTTCAGGTGAATGAAGAACCAACAGTTGGAGAAGATGCATATGTGTGGTTTGGATCTGTATTTCCTTTGGCGTGCGATGTTATCAATGCTCGATTCACCTTTGAAGCCCTGACTGCTACAACCGCTAATAGGCTTCATTATCCTGCTTACGACAAATTCCTGAAAGAAATGGACAAGTATGCAACCACTTCACAGTTAGATCTTTTTTGCAAACATAAGCAACATTGCATTTCCTCTGTTTTTTAATGGATAACTCCATTGACTTTTGATGTGATATTTGACTATTCGTCTTATTCAAAACAGTAGTGCAAATATGCAAAAAAATTTAAGTCAACCTTAAAAGTTTTTAATGATAAAACAAATCATAACAAAATAAACGATACTGATATAATATTTTTGAATAAGACAAATAGTCAAATGGAATGCCAAAAGTCAACACTTTCATACCTCCCTGCTAGATGTCGTTCTTCTTCTTTTTTTTTAACAAACTGGTAGAACTGCAAATTATACTGATAAAGCATGAGAAAATGATACAAAATATAGAACACTGACCACCAGTCCACCACATCCTGATGGATGCCATGTGAAATTGACTTTTTTTTAGGTCTTCCGAATTCTTGCAGAAGGTGTCAACTCCAACCGGAACTGAACTTGCTGAAGATGAATTCATCTTGCACATCGAGGGAACAGCAGGAACACAAAGGGTGGTGCGGCACATTGGAACCACTAGTTGGCCAGGTCATCAATCTGATCAAGAGTTATATTATTTCTGGTTTCTTCAGGTCTTAGCATTTTACGTTGATGCTTTGGTAACATTTTCTTATGAATGCTACATTGGTTGTATACTATACAGGCAGGCTGACTCTGACAAACAAGGCATTGTATTTTGAGGCTTCTGGGAAAATTTCATACGAACCTGCTTTCAAAGTCGAACTTACAGGCAGTGAAATAGGAAAACAAGTTAAAACTACTTCAACTGGTCCTTTTGGTGCACCATTGTTTGACAAAGGCATCGAATTTGAACTGTGAGTTCCCTCTTGCATTTCTTATTTTTGTGTTCATATGGACAACCTACACGGATCAATTCTTTTTGTTATTAAAATTATCACTTTGCCCCTTTTGCAAAGAATATCGACAGTAACCATTCATCTATGCAGACCAGAACCTTTGGTTTTGGAGTTTCCTGAGATGACCAGCTCAACAAGGCGCAATATGTGGCTTACCCTGATAAGGGAAGTAATATTCCTTCACCGATTCATATCAATGTACAGCATAGACTCCCCCATTCACAAATGGGAGGTGCATTCGAGAATCATATTGGGGGTGATAAGGCTTCATGCTGCAAGAGAGATGCTAAGGATGTCGCCACCGCCTCCTTCTAGCTTCCTAGTATTCTCGCTTTACGATGAGCTTCCTAAAGGTGATTTTGTGCTTGAACAACTAGCAAATAATCTGAAAGAGACGTCAACGATAACTCCGCTCAGTGCATCCCATGTGTTCAAGGGTTTGAGCAAGTCGCATCGGGTAGCTTTAAGTGCGGAGATAGCAAAAGAGCATGACAAGGACTCAAATAGCCATGAACAGCCCTTGGCATCACTTGAAAACACTATCGGTCAAGTAAGAGACGAGGCTCGGGAAGTCACCGTCGCTAACGTTGCTATCGAAGGAATGAAGGAGGAAGGTATCACTGATAGCCTTCTTGTACTGGTGGTATGTACATTTCTTTTATATTCTCTTTGGTATTTTATCTGCTCAAATCATTTTTATTTAAGCCGGATTGATTTAATCAAACTTCCATTCAACGGTTCTAAGTTCTAACTGTTTTTTATGCAGGGGTTAGTAAGCCCCATGAGCAAATTGTTTCCAGTGATCCAAAAGATAATCTCATGGGAGAAACCACTTGTGACTATCAGTGTCCTTGCCATGATGGTGTTAACCATATACAGGTTAGATTTATACACCGCATTTAATTTCAACATACATTTTACTCTTGGAAACGATCAGGGAACATGAGATGCAAGGTCCCTTTTTTTTTCAACATGATGCAGAGAGTGGGTCGGTTTTGCGTTAGCGGCATCCTTGATACTGGCAGCAGGATTCATGGTTTGGGCTAGACAAAGAAAAATCGGTGCACTATGCTCAGAGGTGATCATCGACACTTCATCGGACAAGACGACGATGGAAAGCCTAGTGGAAGCACAGCAAAGCCTGAAAAGAGTGCACGAGTACATCAAGACAGCAAATGTCGTGATCCTCCGAGTATCGTCGATCGCGTTAGCGAGGTCACCAAAGGTATCAATATCATCAGAGTTCATCACACACGTTCTCCGATCACCGAATCGTTCCACCGTTGCGATTCATTTCCATGTCATGTTAACGCGTTCCTTCATCATCATGGTGTGGAACTCTGGATAATTTTCTGAGTTTGCAGCATACAGAAACGGTGATATGGATGCTGACAGGGTTGGCGCTGGCGCTGGCCGTGATCCCGTTCAAATACGTCCTGATCGGGGTGATGGCCGGCGGCTTCATGTCGAACACGAGGATCGCGAGAGCCATGTCGAACCCGCAGGGAAGCCGGCGGTGGAGGGAGTGGTGGGAGAGCATACCTGCCGTCCCAGTTCGGGCGGTTGACGGGGGTGGTCTGTGAAGTGTTCGACGAAATGCCGGCAGAAAAATCCTCGGTATTGTTCAGCTATAAGCTTAAGTGTTCATGTATGTTTTTTGCTCAGAGATGTGCCATACTGCCATCATCTTTATCACCTGTCAGCTGGTGTATACCAGAAAAGAAAAATGGCAGAGCACTTAACACGGAACACTTTGTTGGATGTACTAACGGTTAAATAACTGTCAATGTGTGTTGATAAATAAAGGAATACGTCATATATTCAATATTCAATATTGTGGTGCCGAGTTTTTGTCAGTGACATATGGATTTAGAAGAACGTATTGGCAGCGGAAATACTGCTACTAATGAAATAGATAAAGTTTCTGTGTTTGTTCCGAACTTTCACTCTGAAACTTCCGAACCAAAATCACCATCTGAATTGTCAACTTCCCAGCACGCGATTAGGCCATCTGTAATCTGTTATCTCCAGAACAACATGAGAGTGAATGGGTGATCATGCTTATATCTGAAATTCAGAGGCAAATTGAAAAAACTAAAATATTGAAACATGGATAAATGTGGTTTTCGAGTGCTATTATTAGCCCCGTCGATTAGGGAACATATTTGATATAACAAACCTTTTGGTGCACACATTATGCACACCAACTATTTTTTTTAAAAAAAATCTTCGCGTATATATCATACACACTAACTAATATATTTTTTAAAAAATATATAAAAAAGGTGTACGATAGTATTACACTTATATATAAAGTCGTAACTACAATTCATTTCATTGTATTTTAGCTGTAACAAAATAAATAAAAAAATAACTATTTCAAGAGTATAAATGTATTAATTTTTGTTTTTTTATATATAGAGTGAGTTTGAAGATAAGATTTACACATAGATGTAATACTAGTTGTATAAAATATCTTAGAAATTTTTAGTGATAGTTTTTAGTTAATGTGCACGGTGGATACACGAAAAGATTTTGTGCGTACGATATTCCAGTCAGATTAACAGCTCAACACTAGCATTGCAATTGGGACACAGTGCTAGGAGCCTCCGCGCCTTTCCGAAGCCGACCGCCGCTCCATCCGCCGAGCTCCTTACATTCCCGGGCGCTTGTTTCGTAGCGAGTCTTGACCCAGACAGACGACGCCGGGAATGCGCCGGCCATTGAGAGCGCCGCCGTGGATACCAGCCGTTTGACGTGAGATGAAGACGTGGGGCTTTGCCGTCGCCGTGTTGCCGGCTTTTGCCGCCATGCCGTGGCGCTGTGCTTTTGCTGTTCGTTCAACGTGTTAAAGCGCGGCCATTGTTGCAGGGCGAGGTGCCGACGTTTTCTTCAAGGACTGACTTAGCAATTCTCTTCATTCTTTGGGTTTAATTATTCCATAGTTCATCACTAGAACAGCTTGACAAATGTGTACTGTATGTAGCAACCAAAATCTTCATGTTTGTCGTCTTCAGAGTTCAGACAAAATGGCGTCCGGTTTTTGTTTTGCAATCGATTCAACCAAACCTTGTCGAAACGATGAAACGATCTTACCATGTCAAGGAAGACAAGGAAAAAACCAGCAAAAACGTTTGCTATCTGCCATTAAGAACTTGACAGCTAGATGAGTCCTCAGATGAATCATGATGGCATTATCAGCGGTATCGAGTCGTTTGGCTGAACACACACCGTGCCAACTTGGTTAACCCTTTTGTTTGGTAGCGCAAACAACAGTTAAAAAAAAAGTACTACTTCAATTTACAGATTTTTTTTCCCAGTCTATCCATCCAATTAACCAACTTAACGACCATTGCATGTAGTCATGTTCAGATTCGGACAACGCACATCGAGAAAACGTTTGCTTTGCATCAGATATGCTAAAATTGCCCCCACACACGCCTAACTTGTTGGAGATATTTACCCGTCGAGCTGTCCCAATCCAAACGAACTCTCATAGTATATGATGGATGAGATGGATGCATAGATGGATTGGGGAAAAAAGTTGAGTTGCGCATGAACAATCCATGAACTTGGCGAAGGAAAAGGCCACATCCATCCACTAATCCCCTCATCCACCATTCCACCCACACGCCGAGCGCGAGGCGGAGGCGGCCGCGTCTATAAAACCAGAGGCGCGCCTCGCCGCGCCGCGCCGCGTTCTCTTCCTCCCCGGAGTAGAAACCGCCCGCCATTTGGATCCCCCCAATTCCCCTCCTCGCCCAAAACCCTAGCCGCACCCCCGCCGCGCGCCCTCCGCCTCCGCCTCCGCCGCGGCGTGCGGGCTCCGTCGTCCGTCGGCTCCTCGCCACTGGCGTCGCGAGGCGTCGTCACCGGAGGTAGCGGGAGCTCAGGGGACACGATCTCGAAGGCGCGCGCCAGGACGAACAGCTCGAGCGCGCCGCGGGGGGCCTTCGGTTCTGAGATAAATCACCCCGTCCGCATCATCGACGCCTCCCTCCCCGCGCTTGGCGCCAGCTCGTTCTAGGGGGGGAAGATCTCGGCGACGAGCAGCTTGGGCGCGTTCGCCTCGATGGACGAGTTCAAAGGCCCAGGGGAGAAGGAGAAGGAGGAGGAGGCCGGGGACAAGGCCGCGGCGGAGGAGGCGGGGGACGGATTCCAGGTGGTGCGCGGTAAGAAGAAGAAGCGGCCCAATGGTGGTTCGGCTTCGGGTGCTGGGTCGGGGACGATGATGGCCAAGGACAAGGCGGCGGCGGCGGCGGCCGCGGAGCCGTGGACGAAGGCGAAGGTGTCTTTCCACGATCCCAACATTCCGCGGCCGCAGGATGTGTACGCAATCAGAGTGAACAACTACAACGTGCCGTTCGACCATGTCTGGCTAGAGCGCACCGAAGATGGCAGCCGCCCTATCCACCCTCTGGTTAGTGTTCTATTTCGTCTTTTAGTACCTAGTTTTTGCTTTTGAGTCTTTTCCTTTTTCTGTTGCTTGGTGTGTTTAGAATGAGGAGCTAGGAAGCCCTTGATCAAATTTCAAGCCATGACATGACCAAACATTGTTTTACCTTTTTTTTTGTGGTGTTTTTATTTGTCAATCAAATATTGATGTTTCTTGGCTAAAGATCGAGCCTTGTATGGGTAAGAAATGTTTTGGGGATGGCCTACATCTACTTTGGAGTATGATCTTAAGACAAGAATGCTTGGGTATTGTTGAAAAACTATAAGATGGCATGTGCAGAGAGAAGCGGGGAAAGACAAAGATTTCTTGAATTTTTTTTTCGGATAATCAATGTGTTATTTTTATTATTATGTTGAAACTATCAAAAAGTAAGCATTTACATGTTGACTCAGGCCTAATTGGTTAACAGAATTAGTAGGAATGCTGTATTTTGTTTTTCGTAATCATATAGAGTTATTCAAGATTTGTTGGTTTTCTTATGTCCTTATTAATCAATAGTGGAAGGATTGACTTTTTTGCATATTCAATTATCCATGCATGGGATCTGATGTAATATACTCTCGCCTTGCAGGAAAAACTGCCAATGGAGCAGTTTATTGACAGAAATGTTCCTGAAAGTGAACCTGTAAAGCCAGCTGATTTGGAGGATACCCCATTTACGCTAGTTGAAGATAAGAATGGTTTAGCAGACTTAGCTAAAAAGTTGAAGAGTGTAAATGAATTTGCTGTAAGCATTTGTAATTAAGTTTTATTTAACTTTCAAATGAATATATATCATACTTTGTTTCCACTTGCATTGTATTATTTATTAACTTTCAACTGCTAGAGTATTTTGTCTTATGTAGATATCCCCCTGAAAAAAATTGTAAGCATGCTTCCCTGGCATGAGTTCCTAATACTGGATTTTAAAATATGCAAACAAATCTTGTCAGTAATTATCTATAAAATGTAGTGAAACATAGCTGTAGTTGTTGGGAAGTAGCTTTTCTTTATTGGGTGGGCAGTACCTTTTATGATCTGGTACATTGATTTTGACACATATTGTGTACTGAGTTTATTTTGGTTAGAGCAGTAGGACTCTACTATTTCTAGAACTGTTAGACCATTAGCTCCTTAAATGTTTTCATTTTACCTATCATCATAAGGCTCCAGTCATTAACCCAATTAGCGCTGATACCCTGTAAGGATTAAACCATTTTATGTCCAATATATTGTAGCCTTTTGACTTAGGATTCAAATGAAATTGATATATGCTTTATTCTGAATGACATACTGTTGCCTGTATTGTTTCCCTTTCTTTGCCTTGTCTGACAACACCATTCACTTTCTGCACTAACGGCATTGCATAACTTTACTGGATTCTTGAAAAAGAACATATTCCATACTTTCTTTCTGTTGCCTTCTCGGTCTTTTACATTTCATTCATGTTATGGGCATCTGTTATGGAATAAAACAACTTCTGAGGCCTTGCAGTGTTAGGAACTTAAGCTTTATTTCGGTTCGTCTGTTGTTTTCAGGTTGACTTGGAGCACAATCAATATAGGTCATTTCAGGGTTTGACCTGCTTGATGCAGATTTCAACAAGAACAGAGGATTTTGTTGTAGACACCCTTAAACTTCGCATATACATTGGTCTCTACTTGAAAGAACATTTTAAAGATCCAACCAAGAGAAAGGTTTCTTCTGCGTTCTCCAATTGTTTATCATTTTATTGAGGGGAAATTGTTTATCATTGTGAACTCAAATTTCTGTTTACTTGGTTTCTTCTTGTGCAAAAAGGTAATGCATGGGGCTGATCGTGATATTATGTGGCTCCAACGGGATTTCCACATATATGTTTGCAATCTTTTTGACACAGGACAGGTATTTTGATTAATAGGCTAATAATACTAAATACTAAAACTGTGATTCTTGATTGCACCTTTAATTTACCTCTTTCTTCATTCTCCTTCAAAATCCTCATTTTCATGTCTTATAAACTGAACCTTGGATTTTCCTTTCTAACTCCAAACAGGCTTCAAGGGTTTTACAGATGGAGCGAAACAGCCTAGAGCACCTATTGCGTCACTTTTGTGGAGTCACAGCAAATAAAGAGTACTGCTCATTTACACCAACACAATTTTCAAGTATCCATGGTGACCTACCTAATTATCTACAATGAGTATTTATGACCAAAACATACCCCTTTTGTAGATATCAAAACGCTGATTGGAGGTCAAGGCCACTTTCTGATGAAATGATAAAGTGTTTAACCTATAGACCCTATCTTTCATTTATTTTGGTTTAGTCTTGCCTCGTTTTTGTCCTACATGTTTTACTATTTCATCCAGTTTTACCCACTTGCAAATAACTCCTGTACAGGTATGCTAGAGAAGATACACACTATCTGTTGTATATGTATGACTTGATGAGGTTGAGACTGCAAAAGGAGTCGACATCTGACAATGATCTTCTTCTAGAGGTAAAACCTTAGTTCACTAGTTTTTCCTTTTGTTCTGATCTGATTTTTAAGTCTGTATGAGTGAACATTATTTTGGTATATCCTTTTTTTCCCCTTGAATGAAGTATCGCTTTAGAACAAACTGCATGTAGATCTTACAAAGTAACCATTGTGCGATCCTGTTCACATAAATTTACAATCTGTTTGTTAGTCATGATTCCTGAATATATGTGATTTTCATTAGTACTGACAAAGAGTATCAAAATAGACATTCTGATCACCAGTTTTCGGTTATTTCAGGTGCAAAAGCGCAGTAATGAAATTTGTTTACAGTTGTATGAAAAGGAACTGCTGACAGATACATCTTATCTCCACATATACGGGTCTGTAGCTCTGTATGATGTTCTCTCAATTAGTTCATTTCATTCTATCATTCAGAAATGCACTTTTGCTAACCTCGAAGTTATTTTGTTCACATTTATAATTTGCGTGAATCCCATTAACACGTGTATTATTACAGGTTGCAAGAACATGACCTGGATGCAAAACAGCTGGCTGTTGTATATGTAAGAGAACATCTTGTTATTTGTTTACTTCATTATGATCATTCTGTCTCGAACTCGAATAGAGCTAACATGTGTAACATGGCATTGTTCCTAGAAATGTATTTGTAGTTGCTATTACTATTGGCTGTTGGCGACAGTTTCTCATTTTGGCTATGTTCATAACTTTATTGACTTAAAGTTTCTGAAAGCCCATATGTCCATGCCATGTTTCCAAATAACAACTTATATTTTTTCTACCAATTCGGGTTATTTAATTTATGTGTGTAATAAATATCTCACATATCTTTTTGCAGGCTCTACATCAATGGAGAGATTATATAGCTCGTGAAGTAGATGAGAGCACTGGTTATGTGTTACCAAATAAGGCTTTAATTGAGATAGGTACTGCTGATTTATTTTTGTTTTTACGGCACAGGACTTGATGTATTAGTTTGGCTAACTAACTCTTTCATTTCCACCCCCTATTGAATTCAAAAGCAAAGAAGATGCCTACAGATACTGCAGAGTTAAAAAGAATGGTGAAATCAAAATATCCATTTGTTGATGAAAATCTGGACCAAGTCGTAGGCATCATATGGAATGCAACTGAATCTTCTTATGCCTTTGAAAGCAGAGCTGAACAACTAAAGAAGGAACGTCTGGAGCAGGTATGTTTAGGTTGATCTTCTGTGTATTTCATATCTTATTTGTTTGCTTTTGAGGATGGTGGGGAGAGGATCACAGAATGCGATTTCTTATGTGCCAATTATTAGCATTGACGTTTAAGCACCTTTGGTTGTATCCAGCTAACGGACAGGGTTCAGACTATATCATCACCTGAGATGAAGACATCTATGAACTTATCAGGCCAGATTAGATCAATGGATAAGGAAATACTGAGCGATAACATACATCAGCAGGTAAGAGATAATTTCAGTGTCTGTAGTTTTTGTTCGCCCCTGTATTTATGTAGTTGCATTTTGCAGGTGGCACAGGCTACTTTTCAAGAACTGAAGAGACCTATGGCTTTGGGAGCAGTAGGGAATTCAACATCCGGGGGACAGAGAGATTTCTTTGGAGGGTTTTCAAATAAGGTATAAGCGAGTGCTTGATCTGAACAATGAAAACATTTAAGTGTTCATTTAAATGCATGCATGTCATTTTCCTTTTGAATTGTTGATGAGTTATTGGTATAGTACATTCTTGGTCATATACTGTAAAATGTTTAAATAATCCTTTTGGTTTAGTTCTGAATGTTTTGTCTTTACAATAGTTTTTTGAAAGGAAAATGTTTGAAGAACCTTCAATTTTTGCAATAGTTATGTCATATGCCACCATTTTACCTTTTTCCTTCATGATTTAAGCTATGCTTTCCTGGAAATGTTTTTAGATTTCCCAGTTAGCTTCATGTAGGAATTGTAGACTTATGTTTGTTATCATGCAATTGCAACTTATCAATAATTTACGGAATTGCAGTCTGAGAAGATGGAGAAGGCTAAATCCTATCCAGCCTTTTACTACCCCCAGCTTCCACAATATAGCCCTGAAGTTGGGTACGGCTTTCAATCAATAAACCGAACTATGGCGGGAACAGCACAGTCTCCTACTGGCAATAAGGAGAGGGATCTCCAGAACCCTAGAAGACGTCAATCTTTCCCACCTTCCGGTAACATAAGTGATACACACCAGTAATTGCTCTGATGTATGCCTTCAAATTCATCCTTCTGTGCAGAAAATAGCTGTAGAGAAATGGAAACTGGGCTGTTTTTATCCGTGCCCCCTAATATGAGAAACTATGCCTCCCTCAGATTTTTTTGGCTAGACTAACAGAAATATGAGAATAGCCCATATCATTGACATTAGATGCAGAGCATGGGAAATGCCAATGTGGATTGGCTTGTGTGTAACAACTGACAAACATGTGCTGTGCAATTGTGAATACTGGAGTTGTACAAGTGGTATACTGTAATACTGTTATAGCATAGCATCAGAATACAAAGACAGAAATGAACACATAGCATCGATGTCTCTTTTCTTTATTTTTTTCTTTGGACAGCATGCCTTGAATTATTTGCCATAATGTCTCCGTCCCGCTGGCTTCATCACACCTTCTTTGCTGGGTTTAGTTTCAGTTCATCGTTTGGATTAGCTGTTTATGAATAGAGATGCTGTTTCTGTCTATGTTCACTCTCAGGGATGAACATAGGGCCTGCACTGTCTATGTTCAAACTCAGAGAGGAACATTGGGCCTGCACTGCAGCGGTGAAATGGATCCGTGTGTTCGCGCCACCAGAATGAGCTTGGGGCGCAATGGAACATGTGATGTCAGTTAAAGTTGCAGGTAAGGCAGTCACCGGTCAAATCACGGCACTCGCCAACCAGGCCGGAGCATATCGGCTCTGCCGTTTGTTTGCTCCTATCTGTACGTAGCACGAGCTGTTTTCCATTGGCAACGCCTGATCGATCAAGGCGTTCTACTCCCCTCAGCACATGACGCCAACGGGTTGCATCTGCTGACGACAAATCGCTACGCAGACTCCAGATTTTACAGCTGTGTTCTGCATCAACCATGGGGAATTGGCGACCCAAAGTGCCAAACCATCACACGCAAGTTGCCATGATCGATGCGTGAACCGGAAATTGATCCTCTAACTTGTCCCCATAATTTATGAGCCTACGTATGAGTAACCCATAGCATAGTATCAGAGAACAGTAAGTCAGATAAGCCTTTTCGATCTGCGACCATCAAAATCGAACAAACGGCAGCACATTTTAGCCGAAACGAATCAGAGATCTGCCCCAGATTTGCAACCTACACACTTGACAATCTCAACTTGGCTGCCTGCAATCTGCCATTCCCCTTCCACTGCAACATGGAGATAGCCCCACCCACCAACGCAGCCACCCTACGGAAAAGCACACCGTAACGCCGCCCACCAACCCCCCTCCGAATCTCCTCCGATCCCGACGCCTATAGATGAATAAATCTCCTCCCTCTTCTCACTAGACAAAGCCCAAACCAAGGCCAAAACCCTCCTCCCCTCCTCTCCTCTCCATTCCGCCGCCATGGCCGCCGCCGCCGCCGCCGCCACCACCCCCAACTCCCTCCTCCTCCGCCGCCCGGCGGCACCCAAGCCGGCCTCCGCGGCGGCCTCGCCGCTCCGTCTCCCCACGCGGGCAGCCAGGATCTCCTGCGCGGCCGTGGCCACGCCCGCGCAGTCCTCCTCCTCCCCCGCCGCCGCCGCCGCCGACCGCGGGGTCTACAACTTCGCCGCGGGCCCGGCCACGCTGCCGCTCTCCGTGCTCCAGAGGGCGCAGGCGGAGCTCGTCGACTACCGCGGCTCCGGCATGAGCATCATGGAGATGAGCCACCGCGGGAAGGAGTTCGACGCCGCGATCAAGAAGGCGGAGGCCGACCTCCGCGCGCTCCTCGCCGTGCCCGACACCCACGAGGTGCTCTTCCTCCAGGGCGGCGCCACCTCCCAGTTCGCCGCCGCGCCGCTCAACCTCTGCGCCTCCCCCTCCGACCCCGCCGACTTCGTCGTCTCCGGGTCGTGGAGCGACAAGGCGTTCAAGGAGGCCAAGAAGTTCTCCGCCGCGTCCGTCGCCTGGTCCGGCAAGGACGGCAAGTACACCTCCCTCCCGCCCTTCGACGCCATCGAGCAGAACCCCGAGGCAAGGTTCCTCCACATCTGCTCCAACGAGACCATCCATGGCGTCGAGTTCAAGGACTACCCGGAGCCCAAGAACAAGTCGGGCATCCTCGTCGCCGACATGTCCTCCAACTTCTGCTCCAAGCCCGTCGACGTCTCCCGCTTCGGCCTCATCTACGCCGGCGCGCAGAAGAACGTCGGCCCCTCCGGCGTCACCATCGCCATCGTCCGCAAGGACCTCGTCGGCAGCGCGCAGCCCATCACCCCGGTGATGCTCGACTACAAGACGCACGCGGACAACGCCTCCCTGTACAACACCCCGCCGTGCTTCGCCATCTACATCTGCGGCCTCGTGTTCGAGGACCTGCTCGCGCAGGGCGGCCTCGCCGAGGTCGAGAAGAAGAACGCCCACAAGGCCGGCATCCTCTACGACGCCATTGATGCCAGCGGCGGATACTACATCTGCCCCGTGGAGAAATCCGTGCGATCGCTGATGAATGTGCCGTTCACCCTCGCCAAGGGTGGGGATTTTGAGAAGCAGTTCATCGCCGAGGCGGCCAAGGAGGGAATGGTGCAGCTCAAGGGGCACAGGTCGGTCGGCGGCGTGCGCGCCTCCATCTACAACGCCATGCCGCTCGCCGGTGTGGAGAAGCTCGTCGCGTTCATGAAGGATTTCCAAGCCAGGAACCCTTAATTTGACTCATGGTGGTTATGGTATTTTGATGCTGTCTTCAGTAGGAATGGTCTCTGTTCTTCATCATAGCATAATTAGGCTCCTTGCAAGAGCTGCTTTGCGCGTAAGAGATTTTCGATCCATCTGTTGTATCGGTACCAGTAACTATTTCGCGATGCTGCTGCTACTGCTTTTCATGTGTTCATGGGATCTCATTCCCATTTTGTGCCATTGAATGTTAGTATGGGAATAAAGGTAGATTCTTAGCTATCTGAGAGGAGTATATGCTGATGCTGATGCATAATAACAAGGTTGCTTGGTCTTCTTGTGTGATCATTTCTGCTTAGTTTTTCTTGTGTAATCATTTTCTCCTTTGAGAAATATTTGCCGATGACTGTTCATTCGGATCATGTAAGATTGTTCTACCAGAAAATCTTTAGATTGGGGGTGAAATGTTAAATTACCGGTAACTTTCGTGATGCTGCTTCTGTTCCTGTTTGATCTCATTCCCGTGTCGTTCATGCTGTCTCTTGATTCAGTGCTTATGTAACAATGTACAATTTTTAGCTCGGTTACAGTTCTGTCAAAACAAACAAGTTTGGTTGGTTCTGATGTTTTATCATTTCCTTATAGAGACTTATCGACAATCATTCATTCGGTTTATGTAAGATTCTTCCAGCAGAAAATTCTTCAGATTGGGATGCAATATCCAGGTTGTTGTTAGTATTCATGGTCTGGAGGTTGGTGAGCAAGTTCTTGAGTTTGGTGGCGAAGAGTATTTTTACTTGTTGCTGTGTCTCAGTCTGGAGTGGACTGGACTCACTCAGAGATGAGTGCGACAGCTTCTTGTTGCAAGCCAACAAATTCTAAACAAAAATGTCATTTAACTTCGAAATTTCAAACCGCACGTTTGGTAAATCTGCCTTAAAGCCAGGAGTACCAAAGGTGACTACGATCAAATCACAAAGAAAGTGTATTTGACTTTGTTCTGTCAATACTTAAGCAGAGCAGCAACAATCCTTTTTGAATACCTCGATATGTCAAACTTGTACTGTACTAGTTTGTCATCCTTGTTCATTTGATTATGTTTTCTAGTTGTGTTTCTACAATAAAGCTGTAAGCTGTTTAGTTCCAGTCCCATGTTGATCGGTTGATGCATCTTTCTTTATAGAGACGTGAGGAATCCCAAATGCATTGGTTGCCTTTCTGAATCTTCGGCGTTTTCAAGTGAGAGGATCACTGGGGTATACTAGTACCACTTGGTAATCATATGACGTCATCGATGATTAATCCCCCGTTTGGACTCTTCGTTTGGTATTGCTAATCTATTCGGCCGAGTGGATATTTCTGTGGCACCTTTCTGAATTTCTAATATAATTTTGGATCTTTTGTTAATTCTTTTACGTGTTTTGAGCCAGAATAAGTTCAGGAATTTTGTGAGTCACCAATTACCCCTGGAATAGCTGCCATCAGAAAGCAAATGCTCTGCTTGCTTAGTATCACTGTCAGAAGTATGTAGTATTTAGATGGATATTAGGATAGGATTAATCTGTATTGGGTCCTTTTAACAAGAGAAGGTTATACTCCAATAATAAGAAGCAAAAGGTCTAAGAAATACTTACTATCGAAATATAGTAATCTAGTATTCAATTAGACAATGTTCAGATTCATAAAATAATTAGACAATGTTCAGATTTATAAAATTGTTTAGATTCGTAATACTATATATAATGCCTAGGACCGCAGAAGTAAGAAGAGCACCTGCTAGCTAGCTGTTCATGCTGATTTCTGAATCTTCAGAAATCAATTAATCCAGTCGTGATAGAAAATTTTTAATTCGGCCCAAAATGAATGGCACATTGAATCGTAGGCCCAAATATCAAAGGAATAAGTTCACCTGAGGTCCCTTAACTTGTTAACGAATCCAATTTTCGTCCTTCAACCGGAAAACCAGATACGACAGGTCCCTCAACTATCAAAACCGGTGCAGATGAGGTCCCTCAGCGGTTTTGATGGCGGTTTTAGCTGACGTGGCGCCTATGTGGCTAATTTGACTCGGTATTCGTCCCACGTGGCATTGACGTGGCGCTTACATGGCAATTCTATCCCCGAAAAATAATAAAAACTATGGGCCCACATGTCAGTTAAAAAAAGTGGGCCCCCACAAGTCAGTGCTCTCTCTCTCTCTCTCACACTCTTCTCATCTGGACCCTTGCCGTCGACTTCACTTCGAGGCGTTCGGGCTGCCGCCGCTCGTCCCGTCCCTCGACCCGGCCGTCAACATGAGCAGCCTTGCCGCTGGCGCATGCTTCGCCTCCGCCGGCGCCGGCTACGACAATGCCACCTCTGATCTTTTTGTTAGCCTTCCATTAGAGCAAAACGATAGCTAGCTTAGCTACATTTTCATGGTGTTCTTAGGTGACATCACACATGACATCCATGGAGTAATTTTGTGAGGTCGCGTCGTGCATCGGTGCTGCCGATGTGGAAGGAGCTGGACTACTTCAAGGAGTACGCGGCGAGGCTTCAAAGCTTCCGGGGGGACGACGACGCGGCGGCGGCGGCAACGCTGTCGGAGGCGCTCTACATCGTCAGCATGGGCACCAACGACTTCCTCGAGAACTACTACGCCATGGCGCGCGCCCAAGCGGCGGAGTACTCCACGGCGGCGGCGTACGGCGACTACCTCCTCGGCATCGGCGCATCGCCGAGTCGTACTCGTTCGTCCGCGAGCTGCACGCGCTCGGTGCCCGCAAGGTCGACCTTAACGGCCTCCCGCCCATGGGCTGCCTCCCGCTGGAGCGCGCCACGGGGAGCGGCGGCGCGTGTACCGACGAGAAAAACACCGTCGTCGAGCGCTTCAACGTCGGCCTCCAGGACATGATCGCGAGGCTCAACGACGAGCTCGGCGACGGCGAGATGATCGTGTACGGCGACGTGTACAGGCCGGTGGCCGCCGGCGGCGTACGGGGTGGAGAACGTAGGCAACAGCACCGTGCCCACGCGGGTCAACCGGCGGCGGCTCACCTGTGCCATCTGCTTCGACATGTTCGCCCCCGGTAGGATGAGGTCGGCGGGGTGCTCCCACAGTCCCACTACAACTGCATCGCTTCGGTGCCCGGACCCGTCCTGCTCAGTCGCCGGCGGAGGCGAGCGCGGCGACCGTTCCTGAGGAGGGCGCGGGGGCGGAAGACGGTGCTGGAGAACGGCCACCGGAGGCCGAGGCAAGGGGGAAGCGGCGGCGGCGGCGGGAACATGCGGAGGCGGCGGAGGCAGGCACGGCAGGTGACGAGGAGAGGGCAGCGGCAGCCGGCGGTAGGCCCATGGGGGCGGGAGTGGAGGAGGCCGCGCCTCGACGCTGTCCGCATCTCCGCCGGTGAGAGGAGAGAGGAAAGGGGAGAGATGTGAAGATAGGTGAGATGGGGAGAGAGGAGGAGGAAGAGGAGGGGATTGAGATAAGAAGAGTGAGTGAGAGAGAGCTGACATGTGGGACCCACTTGGGGCCCACCAGTTTTTTTTAACTGACATGTGGGCCCATGGTTTTTTATTATTTTCAGTGATAGAATTGCCACATAAGCGCCACGTCAAATGCCATGTAGGTGCCACGTCAGCCAAAACCACCATCAAACCGCGGAGGGATCTCATCTGCACCGGTTTTAATAGTTGAGGGACCCGTTGTATCTGGTTTTTCGGTTGAAGGATGAAAATCAGATTCGTTGACAAGTTAAGGGACCTCAGATAAGCTTATGCCAATATCAAAAGATAAGGCCCAAAGTACCCTACCCTCTAGGCCCAAATCTTCCGCCATAATGCTCCGGCCCACTAAACGAGACGCGGGCTTACCGCGACGCGGTGTGCGTACATCGTAAGCAGCGGGCTCCTCCGCTTAAAAGCTAAGCTCCCCAATATAAACCGCAGTCAGGGCGAAAAAAAGAAAGAAAGAAAAAAAACAAACGCGAACCGACTGCGAGTAGTAAGTAAGGCTAAGCATCCGTCTCCCCCCTTCTCGATTGTTCTCGATCTGCGGCGGCGGCGGCGGCGATGGCCGACGGCGGGAAGCCCCCGACGCCGGAGAAGAAGTCGTGGGCCGACGTAGAGGAGGAGGAGGAGGCCAAGGCGAAGGCGGCCGCGGCGGCGGAGGCGGCCTCCTCGTCTTCGTCGAACGAGCCGGCGGTGGACGCGCAGGCGAAGCAGATTGAGGCGCTGTCTCTCTCCGTGCCGGAGGAGCATGGCGGCAGCGGCGGCGGCGGGGACGACCAGGGCCCGCCTCTCCTCGACGACTCGGATGAGTCCCAAATCCAAGCCGTAAGTTCCGCGTCGGCGCTAGTGCTGGGTGGCCAATCTCGGTGGAGTCGGGAGCTGCTTTCTAGGGTAGTTTGGTTGACCGGCCGATTGATTTCGAGGTGTTCCTGCTCAGGTGACCTCGGGCGGCACGGTGTACGAGTCGGCGGCGGCCTTCGAGGATCTGAAGCTGACGCCGGAGCTGCTCAAGGGGCTCCACGACGAGATGGGGTTCAGCCGGCCGAGTAAGATCCAGGCGGTGACCCTCCCCATGATCCTCACGCCGCCATACAAGGACCTGATCGCGCAGGCGCACAACGGCTCCGGGAAGACCACCTGCTTCGTCCTCGGCATGCTCAGCCGCGTCGACCCTAACCGGAAGGTCACGCAGGCCATCTGCATCTGCCCCACCAGGGAGCTTGCCCAGCAGGTTGATTGAGCACACATACTTCTATTATGTGCTAGTATGTGGATTTTTTTCTTTTCTTGTTATGGATGTGCACACTGTAATGTACTCTGTTTGTTTTATTGTGATTTGCAGAATAAATCGGTGCTTATGAGAATGGGGAAGTTTACTGGCATTACCTGTGCATGTGCGATCCCACCGGCTCAGAAAGATTATGTGCCGATCGCTAAAATGCCAAAGATTACTGACCAGGTGGTGATCGGCACTTCTGGGACACTTATGAAGTGGATTAATCATAAGAAGATCTTGACAAATGATATCAAGATACTTGTGTTTGATGAGGCAGACCATATGCTTGCCGAGGTATGGATGAGTTCTATTGCTGTTCCTCTATCCAAAACTTGTGTATGCCCATTGCCCAATGTTGTTTTCTATTATTTATTTTGTTATTATTAGGAGAACGCCTCGTGTTTAGTTATTAGGGACATTTGGGTTAGATATTAATCTTATGGAAAGAGATAATTGATTATTGCAATTTCTAAGCTGTATAGGAATTGGGAACAATGAAGCAAAAACTGCCATAAGCTCGATTTGTTGTAAGATTTTTTTTTTTGACTTAACAAGAATAATGGTGGCTTCATGATGATTGATTTTCTTACTCGAAGTGGCATACCAAAGATTATCTATGGCCTGTATACACAGTACGTGGTGTTTCCATTGATATTACAGATCGGGTCTGGTTGGGATGTAAAAAGGCTTAATGTTTTTTTCAACTACTATATTTGCCACTGGTTTGTGCAGCATTGCATTATATTCATTATTAAGAAAAATGAAAAAAATAATAATGTATTGGTCCATTGTTGCTACAGTATGGTTCTGATTCGAACGGAAAATTGCTTCATGTTTTTCAGTAGATCAAATGATATTAGCCTTTCCTAATAGAAAAATATTTTGGTATTTGCATATGTATTATCTAGATTAGAAGAGATTCATTCATATGGTTATGTTTTACATTTGGTAAGACATAATCCCTCACATGACTAAACATTTGTTTAAAATTGATGTTGCTCGTATGTTTCATACTTCATATCTGCTTATGCACTCGATGAGTTTATGTATTATGAGTTGAATAGCTTTATTTTCACGCAATCTAACTTCACATTATAAATTTCATAAAGTCCAATTCCTTATAATGGTGAATGCATTCTCGCAGGATGGCTTCAGGAGTGATTCTGAAAGGATTATGAGGGATATACAAAGAAGCGCTGGTGGCTGTCAGGTAACATTTTTCTGGTCACTTTTAACTTCCTTTGCTTGAGTAGGTCCGTCACATGAAACAGCTTGAATGCTCCTTATAGAAGGCGATCTGGATACAGTTTGAAATCAGATATGAGGTTAATATGTCCATTCTGTGTTAAGAGGATGTTTTAGGAGAAGCATTTTCCTATAGTCTGCAAGTATACATGTAAATATGCAATTGCTTATTCAAGAACTCCAACCAATGCTTATGATGTAATTGGAGAACTCCTTTGCTTGCTTGCAAGTAGTGGAAAGAGGGTCTAATTTTAAATTTTTTGGCCATTGATGATTTTTTTTTTTGACCAAGGGCAGCCATTGATGATTTTATCTGGTTTGTTCAGCAATTTTGCAAGATCATTCAGATGATCCCAAATATACCTTTTGAGTTTTAAACTAGTCTTTTCCATGTCATGTGATCATGTGTGGAGTTGATTGTCCAATGTGTGGAGTTGTTATTTATTATTTGAACTGATGGCTGTCAGGTGCTTCTCTTTTCTGCGACATTCAATGAGAGAGTTAAAGATTTTGTTACAAGGGTCATTAAGGATGGGAATCAAATATTTGTGAAGAAGGAAGAGCTTACTTTGGAAAAAGTCAAGCAATATAAAGTTCAAGTCCCTGATGAAAGGGCAAAAATAGCAGTCATAAAGGACAAGATTTTTGAGTTTGGACAAAAAGTTGGACAGGTTATCATTTTTGTTAGAACAAAGCAAAGTACTAAGGATGTCCACAATGCTTTGACATTAGAGGACTATGTATGCTCCTCGATTCAAGGATCCCTTGACCAATCAGAGAGGGAAAAGATAATACAGGAATTCAAAAATGGGTACACCAAGGTTCTTATATCAACTGATGTTCTTGCTCGAGGTTTCGACCAAGCACAGGTACTATTTGTGTTTGTTGACTTTATACTTGAGCAAGTGTAAATCTTTTCTAACATTCTTCCTTTGAAAGGTTAACCTCGTCATCAATTATGACATGCCAATCAAGTTTGGCACAAGAGATGAACCTGATTATGAAGTGTACCTGCACAGAATTGGCAGAGCTGGTCGCTTTGGCCGAAAAGGTGAAATTATTTCTTTGGTTCTCTTTTGTCCAAAAAGGAAAAAAAAATGTCGTGGTTATAATTCAATGTTTAGTAAGTCTTCGATTAATAAATAATGAGAAATAGTCAATATCAGAGGTGGCCTTTATAAGGTATGTTGAATTGCTGATCAACAATTTCGGCTGATGGATCCAAGTTCTAAGAGGTCTTAGCTGAGCAAACCTGTCTTGTGGTGCTGACAAATCTTGCCTATGTCTAGTCGAATACTTAACATAATGTATGTGTCTTAGACTGTAAGTTGAGCCTGAGCTTTTCAGCTGTTTTCTGTGGATAAGATAGAATGTAAGTGGCTTGGTCAATTATACCAGGTCATCTTTCTATGATGGGCAATGATGTGTCTTCTGGTGCTTATAATCAAATTTTTCTGGACTTATTTCATGGTTTATGTGTTTAACATTGATAGGGCTTGTAGACCAAGTGATGCTAGGCCAACCAAACACCTATTCAAATTCAGCCCTTCTATATTTTAGTACATATTCTGTAGCTTATATTCTTAACTTTGTCATTGCTGGTGCAGGAGCTGTTTTCAACTTGCTATGCGGCGAAACAGATAACACTGTGATGAGAAAGATTGAGACCTACTTCCAGCACAATGTTCCTGAGGTGTGTAACTGCAAGATGCATATGCCAGTATCTTGTGCTCCTAAGCATTAGCTTATTGTGTTCTGTTCATTTGTAGGTTCGTAATTGGCAAAGCGAGGAAGATTTTGAAAGAGCTCTGAAGGATGCCGGCTTGGTTGAGTAACACCATTGGAAATATGGCATCAGATGCGCTCTTCACTTGTGACGAACAGGCGCGTGATATTTACCAGCTGAAACAGCTTCTAAAGCAAAGCAATCGAGCTTCTTGAGCTCATCCTTGGTTATTATGTCGAGAGCTGTGAATTCTGTTAAAGGGACTCATCCAAACAATTTTGATGCTATGAGCTTATATGAAGCAAAGGTGTTCCTTCGCTATTTCGTGGGAACTTGTTGCCAGGACTAGATCTACACTTGCATTATACTCTGTTACTTCGTGTACTTAACTGGGAACCTGTTTTGGTTTTTATGGCTTTGTCGTCGAGATGCGGTCACCGGTGTACGTTACGCCCTTGTGAAAAAACTGGAAACCTCTTTCTGGGTCAGTGTACTTGTACACTTGCGCCATTGTTTAGTTGCATGTACGATGTTTCTTTCTGCGTCAGCTGTAAGTGTACACTTGATTTATTGTTTAGTTCCATGTACCATGTTCTTTTTCCTGTTCTCTGTACACTTGGCCACGCTGATACATGAGATGCACCACTATCTCTTCCTGCATGCTATCGCTTTCAGCGTGTTTCTTGTTTCAAAGAACAATTCGTGTATAAATTGGTCGCCTTTTTCACTGTCGTAATAATGAAAAAAAAATAGAGAAGAAGTTACAGGTTGTCGTGCTCGATGACCTGCGCCGCCCTCCACTCCTCGCCGGGGTTGACGACCACCGGCACCAGCATGGACGCCGTCCCGGTGCACAGGAAGTAGTCCTTGCCGAACTTCCTGTACATCTCCCCCGGGCTGCACAGGTACATGTCCTCGTACCCCATCCTCACCACCCTGAACCCCAGCCCGCTATTCTGCAAACGCATCAACAAATTCAAAGATCAAATTCAGTTCAATTTCAACCAAGCCTTTGATGATCTTTTTTTCAATTCTCAGAAGAAACAAAGTTCTTGACGATCCATGAAGATTTCTTGGTGCTATGATTTTTCTTCAAAAAGGAAAAAGGCTTTGTCTTTTTATGATACTCTCCATTTCAAAAATTAACAACTAATGCCTCCTTCAAATGTTTGACGTTTGAACCAACCAACATCGAACAAAAAAAGAATAGAGGGAATATGTTATGTCAAATACGGATTGAGATCCTCTGACTTTACGTCAGAGGAACGTGGTGACTGGTATGTGGACCCCACCGCTCTCGGGCCTACCTACTAGTGACCACATCAGGGATAACTTTACGTCAGAAGATCCCTCAACATCAAATACAATACTAGTCTGTTATATTTTGGGAAAGAAGAATTATACGAACATATGAACATTTCTTGGTGGTGATTTTGGTTGTTTACCTGATCAATGGTGGTGAATTTGGAGGGCGCCGTGCTGTAGATGCGCTTCTTCCTCTCCTCCGGCGGGGCCGCGTACACCCTGCTCACCTTCTTCTTGAGGATGGTGTAGAGGTTGTCCTCCACGGTCCACACCCCCTGCCGGGGCTCCTCGCCGCCGCCGCCGCCGAACCATCCGCCGTCCTCCCGCTTCATGGCCTCCGCCGGGGTGAGGAGCGCGAAGCCGGCGGCCGGCGGCGGGTGGGAGCAGTAGGGGCATCCCCGGAGCCCCTCCACCGCCGTGCCCCGCCGCTTGTCGAACTTGATGTGGCTCAGCATCGCGCTCGTCAGCGACACCGGCTTCTTGCCGTTGTTCTTCACCATCACCGCCGTCGCCATGCTCAGCGGGTACAGCGTCACCACGTACGTCACCTCCAGCGTCCCGCTCCCCTTGGTGCACCCCAGCTCAACCTGCAAATCTTAGACAAATTTTACCCCAGATTTGAAGTGGATTTGTTTGCCTCGGAACGCAAACAAGATTCTTCAGGTTTGCAAACATTTGCAATGCCAACATGTAACATATTAAGGTACATAGATTTTTTTTTTTACCTACATGTAATCGCACCATGTTTGGCACAGCTTTGGATTAAGATTTCTTAGAGCTGGATATTTCTAGCTCCACAAATCCATTAACCAATATATGTTTATGTTGATATAATATTATTTTTTTTGACTGAAAAAGGTAGAGAGACTCTACCTTATAACCATTGTATTAATGGTAGTCAAGGTGATATATAAAGAGGTACAAAAGAACCGGATAAAGAGGGAGGAAGAAGAGAAAATAAGAAGGAGAAAAGAAGAAGAAGAAGAAGAAGAAGAAGAAGAAGAAATACAGAAAACAGGAGAAAGCATGGAAGAACTAGAAAAGCTAGCTACGCTAGTAAGTCTATCCATCTGCATATTGGAGGTCGACATTGTGGCTTAATGTGATTTTCCCATAATTGTAGACATTCTCTGATTTGATGTGTCACATTTGCCGTGGTAAGATCTCGCTGCTGGAATGTTCTATGGTTGCGTGCTTTCCATAAGTTGTGTGTGCAGGCGCCAAAGCATATTGGCCATCCAGATTTGAGATGTGAGGGCGTAATTGTCAGGACCTGATCAACGAAGTGGAGAACGTCTGTGCTTTGAGTTGCCTGTTCATAGATGTTGAGTTTCTTCCAAACCTTAGAAGCTAGTCGGCAGCGCAATATGATATGGTCTGCTGTCTCAATGGTAGGGCAGACAGCACAATGTGGATCAGATGCCCAGCATTTCTGTACCCTATTGTCATTTGTGTTCAGTCTTCCTCGAAAGGCCAGCCAAAGAAAAATTTTACATGTGTTCGGTATTGCTTTGATCCATATGAAAGGAGCTGGGCGCCATAGAATGCCATGATATGTTATAAGCCTGTAGTATGCTGCTGTTGTTAATCCAACCGGGCTTAGTGTACAGCTTCTTACGTCTTGTTCAGTATGCTGTAGTTGCTGAGAAGCTAGAATCGTCATGAGCGAATCCAGCTCAGTTTGGGCTTGGCGAGAGAGCACAGGGTGAAGATCCAGTACCCAATTATCATTAACCAGCTGAGAGGAGGCGGTGCAGTTGATGTCGCGGGCAAACGAGGCCAGGGTTGGAAAGGTGAAGCAATGATGAATTATATTGTTTATATTTTAGATAAAATATAAAATTTTAACTACTATAAAGTTTAACTTACAAACTTGAGTTATGTCAAACAGGACCTAAGCTAAATTGGTTTTGCATGTACATTCATTCTTGCGTGTTCTTGTTTTGAATTTTGTAAATTTCCCAAAATTCGTTCACAAAGAAATTCGCATTTGCAAACATTTGGGAATCGCGATGTGAACCAGCAACATAGGAAATTGAATATTCAAGACTCGAATGCAGTCGTTTCCTTCTCATTCCTCAAATATCAATCGAATATGATCTTGCACGTTCATGTTTTGAATTTTTTTTTATTGTAGAGTCCGTAAAATTCGTTCAAAAATCATTATGAAACGATTTTAGAATGGGAAGTGTACCTGCACTGCATCGTAGGAGTCGGAGTCGGCGTCCACGACGGACCACTCGGAGCCGACGAGGAGCGACTCGGCGGCGCCGGAGGAGGACACCTCGCTGAGCGCGAGCCCGACGCCGCCCTTGACCTCGCCGCCGGCGCCGGCGCCGGCGACGGTGTGGAGCACCTCCCTGCACCCGTCGTCCTTCCAGTACACCTTGGGCCGGTACGAGGTGACCAGCCCGTCGGCGAGCCGGAGCTGCAGCGAGCTGCCGTTCCGCACGCTGAGCTCGGCGGTGGGCGCGCCGGTGGCCGGGTCGGCGGCGAACCGGAGGCCCTTCCGTCCGAACGACTCCTCCAGCGACTGCGGCGTCGGGGCCGCCGCCGCCGTCGCGGCGGCGGAGGCCTTGACGGCGGACGGCCTCGTGGGGAGGTGGAGGGGGAGCAGCGAGGAGGTGGCCATGGGTGGGTTGGAGTGGAGTGGAGAGGCGGGGGCTTGGGCTTTCACTGCAGCCTCATATCCGCGAGGCTTCAGGATAGATAGTTTTTTTTCTCATTGTCTGCTTGTTTGCGTTGCTCCCGCGCGTTTTTTGGCGCTTTTTTTGCACAGGAGATATTGGAGGGGTGGTGCGCACGCGTACCTGCAGTCTGCAGTGCTGCGGGGAAGTATCCAACTATGCAACTCCTATAAATGGACGTCCGAGATTCATTCACGTCACCATGAGTTAAAAAATTTAACTCCCAGTAAATTTTAACTCATGAGTGAATCTGCGAGTTAAATTTTAACTCTCGGACGTCCATTTCTCGATCCAACGGTGTAAGATGAGAGTTGCATAGTTGCACTGAATTAGATGACTACACCTGATACTTCCCCGCAGTACTGCAGGGTTTAGCCAGCGATTTCATTTTCATAAAACAAAGTTTACTATCTCGATTAGTCTAATTGTAAATGTAAATACGAGCATTCGTATTAAATCTAGAACTTGATTACTTGAATGTGTTTAGGTGAACTAGTGAATGAGTTCAAGTAAACTAGTTACACCGTAATGAATCTAACCAATTGAACTACGGATCACTTCGTGATTGACCAACAAATTTCAATTGTTTTTGTGGTCGATTTACAACTAGACATTCGAGCTGGACATGCTCGAAACTCGCCGAGATTGTGAACACACTGCAGCGACGAAGTAGGCTGGTGGTCATGAACGGTAAGAATTCACAAGTACTATTTGCTGGGTGGTTCAAAATAAAAAAGCTTAGAAAATGATGGTGAATCATATCGGGAAGATTAGACTTAAAATAATATGTTAGTAACATTTTAGCACAAAGGTCAGGATGGCCGAGTGGTCTAAGGCGCCAGACTCAAGTTCTGGTCCTCTAACGAGGGCGTGGGTTCAAATCCCACTTCTGACAATATTTTCGATCATTTTTTTGAAACTTTTGCTTTAACTTTATTATAGCCTGGACACTAATCTTTTTCAAACAGCACGATATATCGTGTCTTTCACAAACAAAAATAGTTTCTCAGTTTTTTTTTTAAACTTTTGCTTTAACTTTACTATAGCCTGAACACTTATCTTTTCCGAAGAGCACGATGTATCGTGTTTTTCACAAAGAAAAACAGTTTTAATTTGTTATAGCCTGGCCACCAATCTTCCCCGAACAGCATGATGTACAGTATCAAGTTTTCAGTAAGACAGCTTGCGAATGTTAAAGCATCCGAAACCTGTGCGTCCTGCAGCCAGTTAAATGCAACGCTATGGACGACGTGTTTGTTTACTTGCACAGCATGGTTAGCGCGCGTCGGTGCACAAGCAAAGTCTGGTTCGCACGCGCGAGCGCATAGGCGAATGGTGTTTGGTTGCCAACACGACTACTACATTCATCCCATAAAAAAATAAAATAATATCAGATGTGACACATTCCAGTATTACAACTCTGTACATATCTATATTCAGATTCGTTTGTACTAAAAAAAATGTCACATTCAGTTCTAGATTCATTTTTTTAGGAGGAGGGTATATCTCACTACGTTGGATCTAGTCATTTGTGACGGATCCAAATCCTCATCTTTAACAGGTATACTCTTCGTTATTGATAAGTGGTCAGTGATGACTAAACTTATTAGGATCTCACTTGTGACAGACCTAAATCTTCATCTGAAATAGGCATACTTCTCGTCATTGATGATTCAACCTTAACAGGACCTTACTTGTGACCGGCCTAAATCTTCGTCTGTAACATACTAACATGTATACTTTTCATCACTGATAAGTAAAGCAAACGCAAAACAGCCGTCCGAGTTAGGTAAGAGGGAAACGCGAGAAACTACTCTATGTACCAAAATATAAGAACCTATTCGATGTTTCTTATATCTTGGCAAACATCTTATATTTAGGCATGGAGAGAGTAGCTGTAGCTCCGATCCTCGACCAGACTGACACCATGCAACACTTGAGCGGGAGGCGAGACCGGCACGCACTGCAACCATGCAACATCTCAGAAAAACGGTCTCACGAATCACGATCCCTCTCACCTTCCAACCCTGACCGCACTTGAGCAGCATATCGTCTACTCCTAGTTGGCCCATGGGCACCACATGCCGATGAAACCACAGTTCCTTTCTCATCGTACCAAGTAGCAACAATCACAGTGGTCACCGTATTATACTAGTACTCCTTTTTCAGCAACAGGTAGTAGTAGTAGTACTGCAGTCTGTACCTACACTTGATCGGTTCATCAAGCAGAAGCGATAGCAGCACTGCACTGCAGTCTGCAGTTAAAGTGCTTGGTAGTACCATCCATCCGCTTAGCTATAGTTAACAAATAAAGGGCCCTGAAATGATAATACTACTAGCACTACTCATCAAGCAACCAAATGGAATGATGCAAGCAATGCCCCAGCTTTAGAACAGCCGCGAAAAGCAGTGAGTCAGCTTCGCAATAGCTGCTTAGTGGAGCACTTAGAGGCGAGACCCTGCATCATCAGATGTATATAAAGCAAGATTCTTTTAAGTAAAATAAATAGCACCAATCTAACCCACTTCCAGAACCACTCAACAACGGGATTATAGTACTCCACCCCCCACTGAATAAGCGCGAAACGCAACGCACCAAAGCCAGACATGGTCTTTGCAACTTGTTGTCTTTGCCGCTAGGTTTTTTTCTGGCATTTTCGACGATACTATAAACGGAGTCTTAGAGCGAGCTAAAAAAAAGCAAACCGAAAACGGGAATACGGCAAAAGAAAACTAGGCAAAACTAACTAGCCAACTGCTCCCCAGTAGCAGCCAAGCAGCAGGATCTTGGGCCCGTGCTGCCAGTTTCACAGATAAGAGTTTTCCAGACCATCAGTTCCTTGGGACCACATGCCTGTTGAGTTCTTCAGGACCGTCTTGTTCTTCATGGCTAGCTAGGGAACATGGGGTATGTGATCCAGTTAACTAGCTTTGACGGTGCCGTTGGCAAGGGCAGGCTTCTCAGTCGCTGCTGTTTGGGCGACCTTCGCTGCATAGGTAACGACTGGAGCTGTGCCGTTCTCTGCAGGAACCTTCAGTTCTCCATTGACGCCATTTGGTAGCTTTGGCTTCGCAGTAGCAGCATCCTGCTGCTTCTCTCCAGTGACAGAACTTGGAGCCCTACTGTCCCAGACCTAAAATGATAGAACCGACCATTAGAGTTACCAAAGAGGCATAAGAGAAACCAAGGTGCACAGATTGACAAAAGACAAGGCTCAGGCTTATATATACCTGCTTTTGGATCTGCTGTTGTTTCACCCTCTTTTCCTGCATCAACTTCTGACGGTTCTCATAGAAAGCAAAGTCATCCAAGATGGAGGTCTTACTGACATGCTCCTTGAATATCTTAAGCATTTGAATGCCTTGGTCAAGGTTTACCTGAAATTTAAACAAGCAGGTCAAATAAGATAACCGCATGGTGTGGCTTTTTGGAAGTCAAGAACTAATTTGGACAAATATAAGGTACCTCTTGTGTGTCACGGCTATTTGTCACTGGCTTGTTCTCATTGTTCTCTAGGATGATGTGCTTGAGAATATTGTTGGGCACATCTTTGACAATGTGCCACTTGAGAGATAAGGAACCATTCCACTTATCTTGTTGCCAGTACTCCAAGGTCTTCTCAAAATCAACAGCGCCAGTCATTTCAGCAACACCAACAAACTGCCCACTAGTATTAACCTTAAGTTCACAGCAACAAAGACAAAATTAGGAAAAAGAAACCATGATTAACATTCACAAATGAATACAAGACACAAATAACTTACCGAGAAAAACAAGAATATTGGGCATTTGGAGCTCTTAGCCTGAGCTTCCTGATAAGCAGCATCAAGCTTCTTGTTTCCATTAGTGGTACTTGCCCACACATTGTACTTTATGCTCTTATGGATATCATCCTCACTGTATGATTTAATGACAAAGAACTTTGCATCATCATATTGGACAGGGAAGTCATCTCGGTTGAACTGTGTTCTATCAGGTACATCAGTAGCATTCATGCTGTCACTTGTAGGAAGGCTCTGCCCTTTCACAGCAATAGTGACAGTATGGCCAAACAATTTCTGGTTCTTGAAACGGCCTGATCTAGGACCTCTGTTCAACTCAATTGTTCCATCCTGACTCTCATTGCCAAAACCATAGTACCCGTTACCACGGCCTCTTGGCTTGTACCTGTTATCCATACTAAGACCCCACCGACCATATAGCCTGGAATCATAACCATTACTACCATAGCCATTACTTCCATAACCATTTGTGCTGTACGAAAGACCAGTTTTGTATGAGTTTCCATACTGGCTGTAAGACCGGGTGCTCGGGTACATCCTATTCGGATATGTAGGAGCAGCTGATCCTGTTGTAGTTGTAGGTCTTCTGTTATTCATGCCCTGCATTACAGAGAAGCCAAATAATTCAGTTCACAATCAAAGCCGTAGCGGATCAGGACAGTGCATTCATACGGAGAAAAAAAGAACATGTTTTCGTAAGACTCACCATCTGCTGAGGTGTGGAGCCCTTGTTTTGAGTCCTTGCAGAAGAGCCATTACTGAATGTTGAAGACGACATGTGATTGGTTGTAGTTGTTCTCTGCTGTCCATTTGTATAAGCAGAACCATCATACCATGCAAAGTGTGCTCCTGTGCTGTCATACCCATATGTAGAGTCCAGGTAACCAGCAGAAGGAACTCCACCTAGCAAGGGTGCCCTATAAGTTCCATCAGGGGTCAGTGATGAATTTTGCTGGCTTGATCCAAGGGGTACAGTTCCACTGTTACTGTGAACAGTACCATTAGGAGCACCATTTGTGGTTGTTTTAGCTGGATCTGCCTTAGCTGTTGGCTTGTCAGGATTGGCAGAAGGCTGCAGGTCGCCTTGAGTGGTAGAAGGAACTGGTGTAGGAGGCTGATAATACGAAGTTGGATACTGATAGTGCTGGCCAAACATTTGGCCATCAACCGTTGGAACTGGGGAACTAGCAGGGGAGTATGCACCATAAGGAGCATACCCATATCCATAAATATCTCCATATACTGCCTGTGAAATTCCAA